GTAACTGGTGGATATGTGCATGTGGTTCTGTTGGACATATTCTTAGGTGTGGAATTACTGGGCAGTAGAGTATGCATTTGTTCAGCTACACTAGCCATAGTCAAATGCCTTAGCAAAGTGTACCAATTTGCATTCGCACCACCAGAGTATAAGAGTTAAACCTGGGATTTTCTTTTCTTTGATATGGTGCTGGGAATGGAACCCAGGGCCTTGCATATGCTAGCTAAGTGCTCTACCACAGAGCTATGTCACTCATTTTTGTGAGCGTTTATGGCGTTTTTCATTTTAGCCATCCTAGTGGGGGATATCCTGGTATCTAGCTGTGGTTTTTAATTTGCATTTCCCCGATGACTAATGAAGTCAAGTTCTTTTTCTTATCCATGTGGATGTGCTCTTTTTCTTCTTGAAGCATTATTGGTTTACCTTGCAGTTAGATTTGCAGTCTACCTAGAATTAGTTTCCATGTGTAGTGGCAGGTAGGCATCAGGATAAATCTTTTCCCATATGAATAGCCGGTCGACCTAGCACTGTTTATTAAAAGGGTGATTCTTCCTGAATGCACCATGCATGGCCGTACCTTAGGTGTCCCTAGGCTTGTGGCCTGTCTGGCCCTCCTTATTCTTTTCTTTCTTTCCTTCCTTCTTTCTTTCTTTCCTTCCTTCTTTCTTTCTTCTTTTCTTTCTTTTTATTTTTTTTGATACTGTGGATTAAACCCAAGGGTGCTTAACCACTTAGCCACATCCCCAGCCCTTTTTTTGTTTTAATTTTTTTTTAAGTTGTACATAACGCAATACCTTTGTTTAGTTTATTTATTTATGTGGTGCTGAGGATCGAACCCAGGGCCTCACACACGCAAGGCAAGTGCTCAACTGCTGAGCTACAACCCCAGCCTGCCCCCCCAAACCTTTTTATTTTTAGAGACAGGGTCTTGCTAAGCTGCTTAGGGCCTTGCTAAGTTGCTGAGGCTGGCCTTGAACTCGAGATTCTCCTGCCTGGGCCTCCGAGCCACTGGGACTATAGGTGTGCGTCACCACGCCCGGCCCTACCTGGCCCTTCTGCTCTATTCCACTGGTCTGCCTGTCCATCCAGCACTGTCTCAGTGGGAAAGCTTTGTGATCGGCGGGTTAACTGGTAGAGTGAGTCCCTTAGCTTGTCCTCTGAAAATCTCTGGCTGTTCCTGGTCCTTTGAGGCCCTCTTGCTCCTGAACTTAGACTCTACTGGGCCATTGGTTTTTTTTTAACACCTTCCATTATCTCCCATCAGAGGCTCAGAGAGGTAAGTGCCTTGCCCTGCGTGCACTCAGCTCCGAACTCAGTCTCAGCTCCGCCTGGGAGCTCCCTGCCCTCTACCCATTCCACCGGCAACTTTTTATTTTTCTTTGACTCAGCTTCTTTTTTCCCTTCTGTTTCTTTCTGCGACGCTGGGGATAGAACCCAGAGCTTCACACAGGCCTAGCAAGTGCGCTTCCTCTGAGCTACATCCCCAGGCTTTTAAAAACAAAATTTATCTTGAGACAGGGTCCGCTAAGTTGGCCTTGAACTTGTGATCCTGTGGCCTCAGCCCCTGAGTCACTGGAACTGCAGACGTGCCCCATCATGCCTGGCCCCGTCAGCTCTTGTGGCCGGTCCCCACTTCCTGCTTCCAGGTGCTGTGGGTTCCCTGCAGTTCCCCGAATGCTGTTGACCTCAGGGTCTTTGCATAGTTGGCCCCTTCCACAATCTGCTTCCAGCTGCTCATAGCCGACTGAGGTGTCCAGCGTGCTGCTCCGAGTGGTGGCGCCTTGTTCAGTGCTCTCAGAGGCACAAGGTCCTGGCACCTTCCCTCTTCCTTCTAGACAAGGACTGTGCAGACCAGAGAGGCCATGCGTCCTGCTCCAAGCCTCATAGCTTAGGCGGGCATTGGGGAACTACAGCCAAGGGTGTCGGCCCCTGGAGGAGGGCGGGGCCCAGCAGAGCTGACTGCAGGTGTGGGCACCTGCTGGCACCCAGCCATGAGGAAGAGCAGGAAGGAAGAGGGAGGCCTGGCCTGGTGGGGAACGGTGGCCCAGCTCCAGCCCACCTGAGTCTGGGGCTGTGATTGGGAAGCAGCTTCCCCTGCAGAGGGAGCTCTGCCCTCCTGGGAAGGAGTGGGGGTCCTCCGCCCTGGCCTTGCCTGGCCCACTGAGTGCTTACTGAGTCCCTGACCCCAGCGTTGGACCTGGGAGTGCAGAGAGGACCTGGACACAGGTTCCGTCCAGGGGGCGTGTGCAGGGGCTGGGGAGCTGGTGCTCCGGGACTGGTGAGGCAGGGCTGGGTTGTGCAAGGGGCCAATTGTGCAAAGGCTTGAGGTGAGCAGCATTAGGGGGACTGCAGGGACCCACTGCACTGGAGCTCAGGCCCCAGTGGAGGATGTGGGGTGGGATTGGCAGAGGAAGGGAAGAGGGAGCCAAGTGGGGTGGTGCATTCCCATGGTCCCAGCTACTGGGGAGGCTGAGGCAAGAGGATCACAAGTTTGAGGCCAGCCTGGCCAACTTAGTGAAATCCTGTCTCAAAGTAAAAAGGGCTGGGGTGCAGCTCAGTGGTAAAATGCCCCGGAGTTGAATCCCAAGTGCCAAAAAGAAAGAGAGAGAGAGAGAGAGAGAGAGAGAGAGAGAGAGAGAGAGAGAGAGAGAGAGAGGGAGGGAGGGAGGGGAGAGAAAGAGAGAGAGAAAGAGAAAGGGAAGAGGGCAGGCTCTCAGGGCAGCTGGGATGCTCAGATGTCCTGAACCCCCCTGGGCCCTGGCTGGCTGAACACTGTGTAATTTTGCTTGAGGATGGGAAGGGCCAGGCCCGGAGCTCAGGCCTAGAGAGAGCGGCCAGCTGAGAGGCCAGCTTCCCTTCTCCTGGTGTCTGCAGCTTCAGAGATAAGCAGTGGTAGTAGTTGGCTCCGATGATGCCTCGAGCCGCCCAGAGTCAGATGCTATAGACTCTGGGACGGGGTTCTGATGCAGCAGAAGGGCTGTCAGCCCAAAGGCCCAGAAGACCCAGCATAAGGAGCGCTGGATCAGCCTGGCCCTCAGGGTGAGGTGGAGGGGCAGTGGAGCTGCATCTCAGCCCAAGGCCCCACCCGTTCTCCTGGGCCCTGTCTGGCCAGACTTTCCCCTTCTCTTCCCTGGGAGCAGGCCCGGAGAACACTCACCAATTTTGCTGTGTGACCTTGGCCACCCACTCCACCTCTCTGGGCCCTCTGGGCTCTGAAATACTGGAACTGCAAAAGCTGGTTTCTGGGCTTCTGCTTCCAGCTTCTCTCATCTAACTCTTACAGCTTAAATTGCTTCCTGAGCTGCGCTGCTGGGAACCCACAGTGTAATGACACCGCCGGGTCCCTGTGGGCCGGAGCCCTCTCAGGCTCTCCCAGGTCTTCTCCCCTGGCCTCCAAGGCTGGGGCTGGGGGTAGGCCAGAGGGCACGGGGTGATTGGCCTGTCTGGACAGAGGGGAAGACAGAGAGGTTACATGGTTGGCCTGAGGTCACACAGCAGCCCCCGTAGGGATGTGGGCGTGGAAGATAAAGTAGCTGCTGGTGCAGAACAAGGAACAAGCCAGCTGTCCTGTGTCCGAGTTCTGCTGTCCCTTCCAAGACCACATTCTGCTTGGTCTCATGCCTTCCTTCCTGTTTCCCCTCATCGTCCACTTCCTGTGAGGCCCCAGCTCCCTCCAGGGTGTGTGGGGAGCCCTGCCTGCTCAGCCCTTGCTCCTGAGAGGCAGGGTTGTGAGGCCGAGGTGGAGGCACCGAAGTCTGAAGACTGGGCTGGAGTCCAGGCAGTGCAGGGGGGACGTGGACAGGTGGCATCCCTGAGCCTCGGCTCTCTTTCTGAACCGTGGCAACAAGGTCCCCCTCCAGCTCTGTTTTCAAATAATAGACTCAAACTGTCATGCAGGGGTCTTACACACGGTCGTCCCAGAGCCCCTCCCTCCTGCTCCTCCTGCTCCCCCTGCCCGGCCTTCTCCCAGCCTGTGGTTAATTATAGCGGCATCTTCCAGTTATCCGAGCAGCACTGTTCCCATGGCAGAAATGAGAAAATGGGGGCTCAGAGAGGCTGCATGACTTGTTCAAGGTCACCCAACAGGTGAATGGTGCAACTGGCCTCTGCACCTACATCAATCTTCCTCTCCAACATGGTTTTGGAAGCCAACCTCCCGAGCCTCCTCCTCTCCCAAGTGAGGCTGGGAAACTTGCTTGAACCTTGATGGGGCTGCAAGCATTGCCCTGGGCAGGCCCAGGAGGAGGAGATCCTCAAGGTGTGGCACTGTCGCAGCCTTGATGGGGTGTGAGGGTCCAGCTAGCAGAGGTGGCACAGTCATTCAGGTGCTTGGTCTCTGAACACCTGTCAGTGTACCTGATGTGACAGTCTCTGCCGGCTGCTTGTTCCTGCCCTCTCCTTCCCTCCTGGAGGCTTTTCCTGGCCTCATCCAGTCTTCCTTGTTTTTGGTCAGCGTGGGGGTGCGAGGTGCAGGGCACTGGCTGGGAGTGAAGGCAGAAACCTGCACCCCACAGAGACACTGATTCTCAGTAGATCAGAGCTACTCATCTCAGATGCAGGGAGGAAACATGCCCTTCCTGGCTAGAGGTGAGGGTTGGGAGGAAGGAGAACTGGGGATGAGACCCAGGCTGCTCTCCTGTGGGTGTGGTGCTAGCCCGGAGTGGCTGGGTTGGCCACTTGTCTGTTGGGTCCCCAAGGTCTAAGGAAGCTGGTTAAACAAAGAGGGAGGGAGGGGGGCGTGGCCAGGCCGGCCCTGAGCCCTGACTGGTGGCCTGTGGGCCTGGCATCCCCTCCAGGCATCTGAGAGGAGAGAGCCCAGATTGCAGATTGGACACCGTACGCCGGCTGTGTGGCCTCTGCCCTCAGCTCCTTGGCTTACCTGGATGGTGAGGGTGGTGAAGCCCACTTCATGGGGCTGCTGAGGGCAGCACATGGGGCTGGTGCTGACAGGGTCCCAGGTACCCCATGAGTGATGGCCTTTGTGCCTTCTTGTCCTCTAGGTATTCTGCCTCCCCCTGGGGCAGCGGCCACCATGTTCTCCTGCGTGAAGCCTTATGAAGATCAGAACTACTCGTCTCTGAAGCGGGCCTGTCTGCGGAAGAAGGTGCTCTTTGAGGACTCCCACTTTCCCGCTACTGATGACTCGCTCTACTACAAGGGCAGCCCAGGGCCCACTGTCCGGTGGAAGCGGCCCAAGGTCAGTGTCTGGCCCCCATGGAGCTGGGCGAGCAGGCCAGAGACCCCAGGCTGAGTCTGCAGGGACACAGGGATACCTACTGCCCAGAGAGCAGAGGGTCCTATTTTGAGCCCCTGTTATGTGATGTGACCTGGGCAGGGGTCCAGGAGAATGGGCCCTAACCCCGCAGCCACCACTGCCCAGCTAGGCCCACGGTGGAAAGTGCACCGGTCACCTCTGCCTGGCTGCCTTCCCCTCTAGGGTTGTTTTGGCCTGTGGGTGTGGCCTTTGTTTAGTAAAATGTAGAATGATATCAAGTGTAAGGGATTTCCTCATTATTCTCATCCTAATGGTTTGGCAGTCATCCGTTCCTGTCTAAATGAAAGCGTTTATCATGATGACTGATCAGTAAGGATAAGGGCAGTAAGAAGTAAGAGCCTGTGCTTCTTGTTGTGAGATTAAAACAGGGCCTGGCTGTTTTAACTGGGAGTCTTTTCCATCAATATTGGTCCTGATGGACTCTGGCACCTCCCGGCCACTCCCCCAGTCCTGGCCTCAGGACTGAGGCCGGAGTGTGGCCCCATGGGGTGACTGCTCTGCTTCCTGGGTGGGAGGCTGAGTGGGGAGAGGACCTTGCAGAGTGGGTGTCCCCGGGGGCCCGGTGTGAAGGAGAGACTGCTAGAGATCATAGTTCAGGCCCCTCCCCAGGTCCCATGGCCATGTTAGTGACATGGTGAGGTGTGTCCCACAGAAGGGACTTCAGTGGAAGACTGCTCTACCTGCCACCTGGACTAGACCGGGAGGAGACTGTGACTCCTGCTCAGTTCTCAGATAAGGCATCTCAGCCAGGGGAGAGGCAGGAAGCTGTGTCCAAGGCTCAAAGCAGGTGGAAATGGCAGGCCTGGGTGCCCAGGGTGGCTTGGGCCAGGGCTGGGGGTGGTGTACCGGGCCACGGCTCTGGGTGAGGCCCTTGTGCAGGCTGAGGTGCTGGCCCTTGCTCTGAGGGTCTTATGCAGCAAGTGACAGGATCAGGTTTGCATTTTACAAAGTCTTGGACTTTTGGGGAAAGTTAAATTTATTGTTCAAGCTCCTCTCCTAGGCAGGGTCTGAAACCCCTTTCAACTCACAAATCCTCGTGCTCTCTTTTGGATTGGATTGGAACCCTTGAGAGTGAGGGGAACAAGCCAGGAGGGGAGGCCTGAACCCCGGATCACCCAGTGAGTCACTAGCAGGGGTGGGCCAGTGCCCTGGAGTCCTGCCTCCCTGGACCTTCCTGTGACACCATGTGAAGGGTCCCTGGTCCTCTGGCCCCTGCATTCATCCTCTGGAATTCCCCAGAGCCTTCAGCCTGGTCACAGAATTTTGGTGGCCCACCCTCCCACGTCATTTTTCTTTGTCAAGTGGGTGGGGAAGGAGGCTACCCTCAAAGGGCCTTTGTAGGGTTTTGGTTCCGGGAGGAGGAGTGGACACTCACTCTCTGCCCTTTTCTTGCTCCACCCTTGCTTGCTGCCCTTGTCCTGGCCCTCTTCCTGCCCTGGGCCTGTCACCTAGACTAAAGATGCGTGTGGCCTGGGGACCCGGAAGGAGGCTGGTGAGGCCTGGCTGGGGCAAGTAGGGCAGGCTATGGCTCAGCCTGGCTCTGTGACCTGGGGGAGTCTCTGCCCTCTCTGGGCCCAGGAGCCCTGCCTGTCTGTCCACCTCACCACCTTCCTCCCTGGGCCCTTCCAGCCCGGCTGACAAGCAGGGACGGAGCTGCTGTGCTGTGGGAGGGGTGACAGCGTGTGCTCCTTGGTCTTGAGGGACGTGTCTGGGGGGGTCCACGAGGCTGCAGTAGGGGTTCAGCTGTCTGTGGAGAGGCAGCTGAAGGACTGAACCCCTGGGGAGCCACAGAGGACCCGGAAGTGAGACCACACGATGGGACGTTGACTGTGTGGATTTAAAGAGTGTGAGTGGGCAGCGCCTGGGCCCTGGACTTCTGGATGGCTGGACAGAGGTCCGTGGAGCAGGAAGTCAAGCCTCCGCGGGCGGGCCCAGCTCCTGATCCGTAGCTCTCACCGCTGCCCAGTGAACCTTGGCCCCGGGGCAGCTGCGCGTCTGTGGTCCTGTAGCCCAGCTGTTCATAGGGAGGCCCAGCTCCTTCCACAGCCCAGGGAACCTTCTTCACTTCTACCCCATTTCTGGCTCCTTTTCTCTAAGTTGTTGGTGACAGTGGCCCTCGGTTCTTAGAGGTTCTCCTCAGCCACCCTCCCTGCCTGGGGCGACACCTCTTATTGACTCTGCAGGTGGGACCCGGTCTTGTCCTCTTCCCCCTCCACCCAGGGCACCTGCTTTAGGCCCAACCCTGCTGCAGCTCATTGTTTTTTGTTTTTCTCTCCAGTACAGTAAACACCTGCCGGCCTCCCTCACATCCCTCACAGGCTGGTCAGGGAGAGGCGATGGGCACTGTCAGCAAGGCCTAGGAACTCGGGGGAGACCCAAGAGTATGGACAGTGCCACCTTCCAGCTCTCTCAGGCTCAGGGCTGGGTAGGGGGCCACCTGACATCACTGTGGGGACAGAGTGCCCCCATCCATCACTCTACTTATCTCACGGGGAAATCATTCTGGGGGTCACTTGGTGGAACACATCGTGGGACAAGTGGGGGTCCTACAAACTGATGTCAGCTTTGGAACCCCCCAGAACTTGTCCATCCCCACCCTCTGGGGCTCATGCCCATTTCCTGGGGTGGCCTCTGCTCTTCTGTTGTGCTGAGCCGTAGACCCCTGAATGTCCCCAAGCAGACTGTCTGCTTCGAGGCCAGGCGCCAGGCAGACCTCTGCCCTAGCCAGGAGCCGTTGCCCTTGGCACCGGGACAGGTTCGGGGCAGCTGGGGAAAGCTTGTTAAAGGAGGTGGCCTTGAAGGATGGGAATGGTGACAGGAGCAGTGGGGGAGGTAAGCCTGGGGCAGAGGGTGCAGGTCACACAGCATGACTCACGAGAACACTGCCCTTTCCTGTCCCAGGCAGAGGTCCCCCTCCCAGTGTCCCCAGTTGCCAGTTCCTTCTGTGACCTTAAATTCTGGAGCAGGGTGACCTGGGTGAAGGTGGGCAGAGAACAGGTCAGGGAACAGAGGCCAGAGGTGCTGCTCGTGTTCGTGTGTGTGTGTGTGGGGGGGGTGTGGGTGTGTGTGTAGGTGTGAGTGTGGGTGTGTTTGTGGACCTGCTGCCTGTGCACACCTGTTTGTACACTAGGACAGGGAACCTGAACTTCCTGTTGTGCCAGGGGGAGGTGCCTGAGGGCTGCGGCCTGCATCTGGTCCAGCCGGTCCAACAGGCTGGGAGCCACAGAGGAGGGAGAGGTGACCACAGGTGCAGAAGTCTGTGCCCTAGAGGTGTGTTGACCAGAGGAGCCTCCCCAGCCCTCCCGTGGCTTGGCCCAGGGCTCACAGCAGGCCCGATCCCCTCCAACCCTGGCACTGGCCCTCCCAATGCTATTTACAGCCCCAGCAGAACCTGCTAGGCCCTGCTTACCCTGGAGGTGGGCAGAGCTCACAGGCTGGAGGGGGAGACCCCAAGGCATGGATAGTGGTGGAAGAGGGCACAGGCCAGGCCTGGCGGGGTTGTGTCAGAGTGGCCTCTGTCTCCAGCTGGCCCCTGTTGTGGGGAGTATTCAGAGTTCTCATTTGTCTCTGGAGCCACTCCTCCCATCGGCCCTCTCCACGCCTGTTTGATGGTGGCCTCTGTGATCCCTCCAGGCTCGGGCTGTGACAGCTCCGCTCACATACAGCTCGGCTCTCATTCCTCCTGCTCAAGGGAGACAGGGCCCTGTGGACAGGTACCGTCCCTGACTCACTCTATGGCACATGTCCAACTGACGACCCAGGAAAGGTGGAAGGACAAATGCCATCTGGAGAAACCTGGCCCCATGGTGGTGGGTGATGGTCTGGGTATCCCCTGGCCCCTGAGCTGGGCTTAGAACAGATGCAGGGGGACAGGTGAAAGAAGGGTGGCTTTGTCACCCATAACCTGGCCTACCTGGAATTTCTAGAGCCAGACTTTGAGTTTTGAGTTTGAGTCTCAGTTAACCTCTTCCTCTGTGGTCCTGGGCAAGTGACCTAACTTCTCTGTGCCTCATCTATAAAAGGAGATGCTAGCAATACTGGTCTTGCAGGGTTGCTTTGGGCAGTGCCTGGCTTGCAGTGTGTGCATGGAACTTGAGAGCTATTTCTATGATGGTTGTTTTACAGGTGCCCCAACATGGTCTCTGAATTCCAAGTGCCACCAAACTCACTTGGTTTCTGCAGGTTACAGCTGAGGACCCTGAGCCTGTCCAGGCAGGAGAAACAGGCCCAGGCCTCAGGTGCTCCCTTCCAGGCTGTCTGATGGCCCCAGGTCTCAGCTTTCGCGCAGTCAGGGCAGTGGAACCCTGGAAGCCTGACTGGGAGCCGGGTCTTTGCTGGAGAGGTGCCTGGGTCCAGAGCCCTGTGCTGGGGTGGCCGTGCCTGCCCCACAGATCTGCCCAGCAGCATTGGGCATCAGTGGAGAAAACCCTGGTGGGAGCCCAGCACACCTGGTTTTGTCACTTTCCTCATGACCTTGGTGGCACTGCCCCCTCCTGGGCTCAGCCTCCTCCATGGAATGGGGCAGTCATGTCTGCCACAGGCTGGGAGCATCTGAAGTGGAGGGCACCTCACAGTCACCTCCCGGCATGCCCTGCGGTGCTGGTCTCCCCCAGGCCTGCCCTGGCTGGGGTCCTCCAGATATTGAAGCTCCTCCCTCCTTCCAGCCCTCAGGCAGATGCTGAGTCATCACCAGGCTGGGAGGCGAGATAGGAAGGCAGCTGAGAGGCCCTGGGGACTGGATGGGGCAGGCTGCCTCCCTTGGTCTCCTGTGACCTGAGATGAAGCACCCAGACCTGCTGTGGGGAAGCCTCCTGGCTGCTTGGCTCTGGGTCACCCTGCGGTTCCAACTGGAATCAGGGGTCGGGTCTCAGGAGCCGCTCGTGTCCTCTGGGAGTTGATCCTTTCCTCAGTCCTGTGATACTGGTTTCTCTGGAAACCAGAGGAGTCTCAAGCACCTTATGGGAGCTGAGGGGCCCTTTGTCCATTTCCACCTGCCCAAATCTCCGCCACTAAGATCTGTGGGAGCCTTAAACAGCCCTGCAGGAATAACAGTCTGTCTCCTTTGCATAGGTGAGGAAATGGAGGCACAGAGAGGTTGAGCTACTGGCCCAAACTTGTACAGTTAATGAATAGGGAGCAGGAATTGGAGTTCTATCTTCCTGGTTCTGCTACCATCTACTGGCCACCTGTGGTAGGGCCTCAGGAGCTCTGTGGTGATTGATGGATGGAGCTCAGGAGCAAACTTGCAGGTGACCTGCTGTCACCCCCCCCTGCAGTATGACTAGGGCATGTTGTTCAACTTTTCATCTGTAAAATGGGCATATTTCCCCTCTCCGGGCTACGGTGAGGATTGATCATGGTGGTAGCAGGCTGTGTGGCACATAGAAGACCTGAATCAGTGTCTCCCTGATCTCACCCCTTGGGGGACAGTCACTTTCAGCTCTGTGGAGTCAAGGTGCTGGTGAGAGAAAAAGAGGGGCCTGGGTTGGCCAGCTGCATATGCAGCGCTGGCCAAGGCCTGGATGGGCAGTAGAAGAGACCCCCTCTTGTGCCCAGCCCCACCACAGCCTGGCCCATCTGGCCCACAAGTGATGCAGGCAGCCCCTGGCTGTAGGTGGGGCTCAGCTCCGGGCAGGGGTTGTCTGTCACCCTGCGGAGGACTAACCAGCTGCCCACCTCAGGCCTGGAGTGGGATGTCAGCCGCTGTGGGAAGCCGGGGAATGAACCCTTTTAGCTTGTGTCTGAGGTCAAAGTCCACGGTCCTCCCACTTCCCAGCCTCAGGGAGCCTTAAAGGAAAACCCTGGGTGAGCTTGGTGGGAGGGTCTGGTGTGGAGGCCCCCTGCCGGCTTCCCTGGGCTTCCAGGAACTAGGAAGGGCTGGGTCCCACAGTTACCAGGTTGTGTGAGTCACTTCCCTGTCCAGTGGCTGCCCGGCCTGGCTTCCTGGCATGTCCTAGGGAGTAGGCCCCCTGCCATGGCTGCCAGTCCCACGGGAAAAGCAGCAGGATTTTATGTTCCACTTGGGCATTTTGTGTGGTATGCCTTTAACAAGCTGCTGCGCTACTGTGGACCTCCATTCCTGAAATGGAAGAGCAACTCCATACTCCTCAGGGGTGTGGGGATCAGATGAGAGCGGAAGGGGCATCAGCTCGCCCCACCCATGCCCTCTGTTGCCACACCCCATCCGCTGTTCACCCCTCCCCACCCTCAGATAGCCACGCCCCTGCCCTCTGCTCACTAGGCCCCGCCCTCTGCTCACTAGGCCCCGCCCTCTGCTCACTAGGCCCCGCCCTCTGCTCATCGCTGTCATTTTGGTGTTGTCTCACCTCCCCCTTCCCACCCCAGGGCACCATGAGGGCTGGCTGGTGAGGGAGGGCCACATGGATGGGAGGAAGGTGGTGGCCCGGGTCCAGCCTCCTGACCACCTTCTACAGCTTGTTCATCATCATGCCATTGGCAGAAGCGCGCTCTGGGCCAGAGAAGGAAGAGGGCATCCAACCAGGAACTGGGGAGGCAGGGTCTGGGGAGTGGTCTGCAAGGTTAGACCCCCAGTGTGTGGGGAATGGGGAACCTCTGTGCTGGCAGCAGGTGGGCATCCTGTGCTCCTGGGGCCCTCACGCTCTCCCTGCCCTCTCTGTAGGACATCTGCGAGGACCCCCGCCTCTTTGTGGATGGCATCAGCTCCCACGATCTGCACCAGGGACAGGTGGGCAACTGCTGGTTTGTGGCAGCCTGCTCTTCACTCGCCTCCCGTGAGTCGCTGTGGCAGAAGGTGAGGCCTGGGGATGGGGCTGCTGGGGCATTGAGGCAGCCTGCGGCCCTCACTGCCAGGCAGGTGTAGCCCTGATGTGGCTGGAGACTTCCCGAAAGCCTGCTCCAGGGCCGGGTGGGCGACCTTGGGCCCCCTCAGCACTGGCTGGGCGTCAGATTTGCCTTCCCTCCACCATCAGCTGAAGATCCAGAGGCAGGTGCTGGTAGCATCTGTGTAACTCTAGGGGGATCCTGATGTGTCCCCTCCCCACTGTTGGGTGCTTAGTGTCTCTGGAGCCGAATATATACCTGTGACATATGGAACCTTCCTGCATGATTTTCAGTGTGGAGTCAGCTGTGACGGGGCTCAGGGCATCTCTGCCAGTAACCTGCTGTGTGACTTGGGCTGTTGCTATCCTTCTCTGGGCCTTGCTATTCCGAGTTGTTCAGCATGAGTGGTCTGGACAATGCTTCTTGACTGGTTCTACACTGCTGATGTTCTTGACCAGTCCGGGAGGGCCACAAGGGTGGGGGGAAGGTGGTGGCCCGGGTCCAGCATCCTGATCACCTTCTACAGCTTGTTCATCATCATGCCGTCCAAAGGTTTGGGGTTGGAACAAATGGACTCTGGTCTTGCCATCTGGTTCTTTTATGGCAGCACTTAGCATTGGGACCCTCAAATCCAATGCTTCCTTTTGGGGAAAACAGGGAGGCTGGAGTGGAGGCCGAACTTGGTGAATTAAGACAGGGATTGTGGAGGAGACCTGGGCTGAGCACAGGATTAAGCTCCAGTGGTTGTTTCTTTCCCTTCTTTGCTCTGCCTGCTCTCCCTAGGAAGGGGTGGGTGGTGGGCTATTAGAGCCTGGGGCATTGAGTCGCCCAGGCTCAATCTGAGCCCCAGCCTTACCAGTCGGAAGCTTTGTAGCTGACCTCAGGTTATTCCTCTGCAGAATCAGAGTAGTGGCCTTGCCAGAAGGTGGATTGACATGCTGTCCTTACCGTGCTTCGTGTGATGTGACGCTTGGTGGATGCAGCGTTAGGAATATTCCTGGATCGTAGGGTGTTCCTATGCAAGCAGGGTGCAAGGAGCATAGTGTGTTTTTCTTCATCCTCTGAGGCATCCATCAGCCATCAGAGGGAGCTATGCCCTTGGCCAAGGCTGGGACTCAGGTCCCTTTTCTCAGGTCTTCTGAACAGGGTGTGGCCTCTCACAGCCACCCAGTGGGCATCCCTGAGGCCTGGCCTCTAAGGCTCCTGCAGTGGTCAGGGCAGCTGGCTTTAGGGCTCGCAGGGCCTCAGCAAAGGCAACTGCTTCAGCTTATAGATTTGGGTATTCAGGGGCATCCAGGCTGGGAGAAAGCACGTGGGATCCTGTGGGGCCTGGCCCGATTCTCTAGGTGAAGGTCTGGTCTCCACCCTGCAGCCTCCAGCCCGCTTCTTTGAGTCCAGAACCAGGCCCCCTGCCTCTGAGCCCCAGCACCCCGAGGCGAGGACTCATGTGGGGCTGGAGGTGGCACAAGGGAATCCTACGGGGCTGCCCCCCACCTCCCACCCGCCCTATAATTGCCTGTTTATCTGCTGTCTCCCCCCTTGAGGTGAGCTCCCCACAGACAGAGCCGGTCCAACTTATATCTTCCCTTGGAGCCTCACAGGAGCCAGCATAGAGGAGCCTCTGGAGAGTTTTGGGAATGGAAGTCCACCCCGAATTGTTCCACCCAGCTTTTGACAGGCAGCTCCACCGCCGGCCTTGCTGGCAGTCCTCCAGGTCTAGGAGTGGGCTGGTGCCGGACAAGATGGGAGGAGCTCAGCGCTGTGTGCCCTACCCCAGGTCTGGCCCTTGGTCCCTGTGGCAGCTCCCCATCTTTACTGCTGGAGGAAGAGGCTGAGACTCACAGGAGGAGGCCTGGTCTTGATGCTGTGCCGCCTTGGGCAGGACTGAAGTTTCCTCCTTTGAGGGGTTGGGACACCGGCCTGGGTGGTCTTCCAGGCTGCAGAGCCAGGAGGCTGGTCTCCCGTAGCTCAGGTCCCCAGCCTACCTGGGTGCTCTTGGCTAATTGCACTCTGCCTCCAGGTACTGCTGTGGCGATAGCCCTTGGGTCCTGGGATGAGGCTCCAGGGAGCTCATTACTGTGCCTCACACTCCCTGACGGGGCCCTGTTTGTTGTCACCCCTCACTTTCAGGGCCTGTTGCCCTGCAGGGCCTCCCTGCCCCACCCTGTTTTCTCCCTGGAAGGGCAGTGGAGGGGACAGGGGTGGCGTTTAGCCTGAGTTGCACCCCTGCCCCCCCATCCAGCTGCACACTCCAAGAGGCTGGGCCTCAGAAGCAGGTGCATGGCACCTGACACGTGCCCTCCTCCAGGAAGTCACCCTTCACTCTTAGTTCTTAAAGTAGCCTGGGACCAATAGGCTCAGGATTCGCCATCATGGAAGGAGCACCAGCCCTTGGCTCCCAGCACTCTGCACACTTAGCTCCCGTCCTCGCCTCTTCCAGACACCCCTGGGCAGTGGGCTTCCCTTCCTATAGGGTCCCTGGTGGGGCATCCTGGCCTCCGTATCTCACTGCGTGTTCCCTGCAGGCAGGGAGGCAGTGGACTTCTGGTGGCCAGGTTTTATGAACCTGAAATCAGGAAGTGGCAGTTGACAGCACTTGCCAGGAGACCATGCCTACGCTGGACCCAAGGTCGTCTGTGAACTCACCTCCCTGGGAGCCTGGTGCAGCCAGAGCAGAGGCCAGGCCTGCTGCCTGAGCCATCGTGTCCCTGGCCGTGGGCTGGCCTGGAGGAGCCAGCCAGGCCCCCGACTGCAAGAAAGCATGGAAATTGGGGGTTGCAGTATTGGGGCGGGTTTGGGAAAGGCAGAGGAGGCCGGGACAGACAGTCTTGGTTCCATTTTGTGTTTCCCGCTTTGTCTTGGCCCTTTAATATCAGCAGTTCCTATTCTCAGTTATTCAGCAGTTTGCTCAGTGCACGTTCCCGGACACCAACTGCGCCCCAAGTGCCACAGAAGGTCCTGGAACAGAAGATGTGGAAAAAGTCCCAAAACCACAAAGTCAAGTGACTTTCGTTACCCAGTAGCCTCCAGTGTTAAGGATTTTCAGTTGTTGATGTTGTTGTTTCTTCCATTTCGGTTAAGAAGTTTTATTTTAATTGTGCAAGTTTGGAGCCTGCTTTTCTCCCCTGAATTTGTTCCTGCATCCAGCCGTGGGTGGGTCCTCCCCAGTGTCTGGCAGCTGAGCCAAGGATATCAGCGCATCCAGAACCGCCTGCAGCCTCCTGCCTCCTTCCTGCCACTCCTCCGGAGCCTCTGTACCCTCTGTTTCCTGCTCCCCTCCTTCCTGCACTGTCCTCCCCTCCTGTGGCCCCTGTCACCCCCTCCCTCCTGCCTGGTCTGTGAGGCCCACCCTCAGCCTCCTCCTGGTTGCACATCTCCACCCCACCAGAGATGAGGTGCTCTCCTGTGCTCCTGGATCCTCATCCAGCTGTTGTCTGCACTGTCACCTAGGTTCAAAGGGTGTGGCACCTCCAGGATCCTAGCCTTTTATACCCCAAGAAAGGCTGCGTTCTGGGGATCACTGTGCCCCTGTGGCTCATGCCTCCGCTCCACCCCTTACTCCCCACTGCCCTGGTCTTAGTTCTGGGTTCCATCTCCAATAGCCTTCACCTTCAGCCACCTCGGTCACTCCACAGCCACAGCCTGGGACAGCTCTAGGTGGTCTGCAGTCAAGGCTGGGTCTCTCTGGCCTCAACTTCCAGCCACAGCACATTGCTGACCTGACCTCATTCAGGCCTCAGCCAGTGCCCTGGGCTCTCCCACCTGCCTGCATCCTCTTGTCCTTCCCATGGAGGAAGGAGAAGCTGCCTGGTGTCAGTTCATCAGCCAAGTTGTGCCCCCGCCCCCGCCCCTCCAGCTATAAGGTCAAAGGTTCTGATCTGGCACTGAACTCCCACTCTACAGAACCAGGTACCGTCTCCTTTGGTACCCGCATGCCATTCATGTAGCTCAAGATATCACTGATTAACGTATTCATCCAGCAACTGACTCTGCTTGTGGTCCACGAGATCCTTCAGATTTTTTTTCTGTTGTTACACTTGGCCCTGGGCCTCTTTCCTCTTTCCTTTGCATATCATGGTGGTAGCCCACCCCTCTGCCCCATCCCCACCTCAACTATGCTCACATACCCCAGTTCTTTCAGGTGTCCTCTTGTGTGTGGGGGGGTATGTGTGTATATTCTAAACTCAAACCCAAGGCCTTCCTCCACCACTAAGCCACACCCTGCCTTTCTTTTTTTTTTTTTAGTTGTAGATGGACACAATATTTTATCTTATTTATTCTATCCGGTACTGAGGATCAAACCCAGTGCCTCACACATGCGAGGCAGCGTTCTACCACTGAGCCACCACCTCAGCCCCCTTGCCCACTTTTGATAACAGAGCTTCTGCTTCCTGTTGGATGCTGGAGATATAGATGTTTGTGATTCTTCCTTGCCCTCAAGTCTCCTGGGGTAACAGGGGGAATACGTGATAGGACTTTGGTAGAAGAGAACTGTGGTCATGTGGTTGCCATGGCACAGGGTGGAGGAAGGGCCAGGTCAGAATCAGCTGGTCAGTGATTCTCAAAGCTTGGTTCCTGGGCCAGCAGCCTGGGAGGTGGTTGGGAATGCAAATCCACATCCAACATGGATTAAATCAAAATTTCTGGGAGTGGAGGCTGACAGTCCGTTTCCAAGTCCTACAAGTAATTCTGATGCACACTGGAATTTGAGAACCAGGCATCTGGGTGGGACATGATGGTGGCAGGGTGGGGGTCCTGGCAGTGGGAATGTAGGGGAAGACTCCCTGACATTTAGGAAGTAGAATGTACCAGCCTTGGTGGTTGGATGTGGGTGAGTGAGGGGCAGGGGAACCTGGGATGTTGGCTTGGGTGACTCCAGATCTCCATCGGGTGCACCTGTCTGGTCCTGTTCTTGCCCCCCATAGGGGTCTTCCAGCCTCTCCTCCGAGCCTCCAGCCAGTGCTCCACTCCTCCCGCATTGCCGTGCAGAGCACTCCCTTATTCACAAACAAGCAGCTCCCAGCCCATCCATGTAGTCAAGGTGGTTTCCACAGCAGTTGACATCAGCGTCCTTGTCCCCGGGGAGCCCAGCACCCTCCTGCCTGCCTGCCTGCAGCACCTGTATTATCACTTCCAGGAGTGGAGAGGAGGCAGGTGGACTCCCACTTCTCATCCCACCCTGTTTTGGAACTGGGTGGGGTCTGGAAGGGCCAGTGACCTGGAGCGGAGGAGAGGAGAGGAGGGAGGGCATAAGGGGAGGCGGGGCCTCTAGGTGGCCTCTTCTCTCCGCACTGAGGCCCCAGCCCATTTGGCTCTTTGACATTGGCGGGAGCAGTGGCAGCAGCAGCAGCAGCAACAGCAGCACTTGGGCCATGGCGGAGGACGGGCCGCAGAAGCAGCAGCTGGACATGCCGCTGGTCCTGGACAAGGACCTGACCAAGCAGATGCGGCTGCGCGTGGAGAGCCTGAAGCAGCGTGGGGAGAAGCGGCAGGACGGCGAGAAGCTGCTGCGGCCGGCGGAGTCCGTGTACCGCCTGGACTTCACCCAGCAGCAGAGGCTGCAGTTCGAGCGCTGGAACGTGGCGCTGGACAAGCCCGGCAAGGTCACCATCACCGGCACCTCGCAGAACTGGACGCCCGACCTCACCAACCTCATGACGCGCCAGCTGCTGGACCCCGCTGCCATCTTCTGGCGCAAGGAGGACTCGGACGCCATGGATTGTAACGAGGCCGATGCCCTGGAGTTCGGGGAGCGCCTGTCGGATTTGGCCAAGATCCGCAAGGTCATGTACTTCCTCATCACCTTTGGTGAAGGGCTGGAGCCTGCTGACCTCAAGGCCTCCGTGGTGTTCAGCCAGCTCTGAGGGGGCTGCCCTCTGCCCCATCTGCCCCCACCCTCTTCCTGCCTGGACCTCCCTTCCCCACACCTGTGTTTTGGGAGGACATTCTTCTAGCTGCTCAGCCTGGATTCTGCGTGGCCAGAGGTCCCCTGAGTCCATGTCCTCCTCTCCTCCTCTCCTTTTCCCTGATGTCAGAGCTCCGGCTCCCGGAAAGATCCCACGGCTCTGTAGTCTAGAAGCTTCACTGAGCACCGATGCCACCCCCTGTAGATGATAGAGACCTGGTAGGGGCTCATGTGGCAGATGGAGAAGCTATAGGCACCTGCCTTCTCTGCTTCATTGTGAGGGAGTGAGACAGTCAAAGACCAAGAGAGACAGAGATTCAAACAACCAGCCATCTGGCTTCCTCCAGAGACGGGGACATGGAGATGACAGGAGCAACCTCCTCGGGGAATCCAGGAAGAAGGCTTCTGCTCTCCGCGCACCCTCGGCCACCCTTGTCAGGAGGTGAACACCCAGCCTGAGGACTCGGGAAGGTGCTGCTTCTGCAATGACCCAGTGTGGTCCCAGGATGCCTCAGGACCCTCAGGACATGGGGCAGGGTTGCTGCAGGGCTGATTTGGGTGGTGGGAGTGGCTTGGGGTTTGTCACCCAGTGCTGGCTGTAGTGGAGAAGTGAAGGGGAGCTACATACAGTCATACAGATCTGTCTACCTGCATGCACACATCCATCAAGACAGCATGCGGGGCTCACACAGTGCACACTAGGGTCTATTCCTGCCCTGTGGACACGTCTAATTTTAGGTTATCCATTGAAAAATTGCTGCTGGTTCAAGGGTGGCTCTTGGCAAGGGGTTGATTGACATGACTTGGGTTGAGCCCCGTTGGGGGCTTCCTGAGCTGGGAGTCTTTGAGATTCATACAGTGAAGTGGGAGCAGTTTAGTAAAGGGTTTCCTTCTACCTGGGGAGAGGCTGGATAGAGGGATCCAGGGCCCTGGAGCTAGAGATGGCATGTCCCCTTGGGGAAGCAGGCCTCGCCAGCTCACTGGACAGAGAGAAGCAGGCATTTCCTTCGACTGGAACAGCTTTGGCATTTCCTGGGCTGCTTTAGGGGAGCTAGGGGAGGGGTGGGTAAAGCCTATGGGGATAGTTACAATGGCTTATAATCTCAAGTGGGCTGGAGGTGACAGCAATGTGATGGAGAACACTGGCCTTGGAGGTCACTGGGGGCATCCATTCACCAGATGGGGAAAATGAGGCACAGTTACTGGCAGATTCAGTTCCAGCTCTAGCCTCATTCTGCTTCCCATTGTACAGGCCCAAAGCCCCCATTTAGAGGGGCCTGACCTGCTGCCTGGATTCAGACCCGAGCACCTCCACAAGTGCCCCCAACACCTTGTCGCAAGGCTGGCTTTGTTTGGCCCTGGCCAGAGACATCCTTTGAAAGGTCCATCAGGGCACTTGGACCTGGGAAGAGATGTACTGAGACCTAGAGGGTCAGAACCATCCCCAGTGTTGGGGCTGGTGGGGGCAGGCTCCCTCTCAGAGATGTGGAAGGTGGTGTTGGAGTCAGGATTCTATAGTGAGAGATGGGCTGTGGTGAGCTCTGGTCCTGTGAAACTGTGTCTCTGGGGTCTGTTCTGGGACATGTTTGGAGAAGTGCTGGCCTTGCCTATAGGCATTGCTGCCTTATTCTCTGCTAACTGTGGGATGGGAGGAGGTCAGACCCCGGGGCAGTTCCCCCTTTCTGCCTCTTTGCTTGCCCTCTCCTCTCTGGACCCCCCAGACTGCTCTTCCCCACTCTGTCCCATCCCGTCTTCCTGTGGGGTCCTGAGTGCCTCTGCTGTGCCCGCTGTGCGTGCCCAATAAAAGCCGTGTGTCCTGCCTTGGTGGTGTGCGTCTCACCGTGAGCACCGCTGCCCCTCAGGAGCTCTGCCGCCTCTCTCCCAGTCCTGTCTAGTGCCCTCCCAACCCTGGGCAACCCTCCATGAGCCTCTCCCAAAGTGTCTACCCCGCTCCTGCCAGCAGTCAGGTGACCGGCCAGGCCTCCGTCAGGCCTGGGTTTACTGGGCCTCCTGGCGCCCCTCCAGCAGCTTAGCCAGCCTGTGTGGGGTAGAGGGAGCCATGCTGAGGCCATGCTGTCTCCAGTCTCCCTACCCACAGGGCGCTGGGCACGGGTGGATGGAGTACTGGATGGCCAGGTTGTGGGGCAGGGTCAGTCCTCTCTGCTTCCTGCTGGATGGCCTCAGAGTTACCAGCCCTGGATCTTCTGTCAGTCTCTGACCCAGTCCTGGCCCCAGGCTTTCCAGAGGGAACAGCCTGGCTTTTTCTGTGAGGCGCCTCTCTGCCCTACCCTTTTGAGATTGTTAGACTAGTGACCAGATATGACTGATGTTGGTATCAGTGCAGCTGCAAGGCCACATAGTCTTGGTGTCCTGTTGATCCTTCTTCACAGCTCTGCCCTTACCTCCTCTGTCCTTACCTCTTGCTCATTTTGAACAGAGACAACTGAGACTCAGAGGAGAAGGCTTCCTGCGCAGGTCATGGAGGGATTGGAGGGGCTGGACCAGGGTCAGGAGTTCAAGGTGGAGTACCAGGCCATGGCCCTGTGGACCTTTGACCCTGTGTCACTGTCACCTGCAATGGGCTGGGAAAATGTGTCCCTCTGCCCCTTTCCTGAGATGGGGGTCAGAGGCTGCATTGTGGTTTTGCTTGGGAATGACCCTGCTTCAAAATGCTCCCCGAGCTGGTCTCGTAGCCCCTTTTCTCCTCCACCTCGGCCTCCCCATTTCCTGCCCCCACACATCCCCCTGATATCATTCGAAGAATCCCCCTCCCCCATCTTCCAGGAGTCTCTGCCCTCCCAAGCCTGCCTCCTGGCCACTCCTGGAAACACCTCTGAGAGTCAAAAATGTAGCCCTCCCTCCATGGGAAGAGGTAGCACCTGGCTCTGTTCTCAGGCAGGGGGAAATAACCCCTCTCCATGGAAACCACGAGAAACCGTAGGGTGGGGAGACCTGACACTTCCTGAGCCTCTTCCCAGAGAGGCAGCATGGTAAGTGGTGAGGGCCCCTGCCTTGCTATGCACTGTCCCATTGGGTAACCCTGGGCAGCCTCTCTGAGTGGCTTCCTCCTCTGGTGACTCAGTCTGATGACAAGGTTGAATGTCAGTCAAGCGCGACAGAATTGGCACCTGGCCACCCTTTCTGGGTTTGCCTTTTTCTGTCCCAGTGACTGTAGAAGCGCGGCCTCACTTCAAATTATTCTGAGGAGGGTTAGGAGAACCTGACTGCTGAACAGAAGCTCCAGGTTCAGAGAGGGGGAAAAGTTGCCTGAGGCCATCCAGCAGGTAGCAGAGAGGCAGGCCTGGGATGAGCAGGTCTTGGTTCCAGCTGTCCTGATCTCTGGGCAGCAGGATTCTGCCCTCCTAAGGAGGCGGGGATGGCACGCAGCCTTCCTGGCTCCTCCAGTTAGAGTATCTGAAACTTAAGGAATTTCAGATTCTTGAATCCAGAAGCTGGGAACTGAGGAATCTCAGATGCCCAGCACCAGGAACCTGCTAGGTCTGAGGATTCCAAAAGGCCTGTGGCTCATCTTACCCAACTTGGGTGACACAGGGAGCAGCAGCCCTTCTTGCCACAGCCACTGTGTGGCTCAGAAACGCTGTGAGCTGGGCCTGGGGTCCCAGGTAGACATCTGGAAAGCTTTCTCCCACGCCCCTACATCCGCACAGTCACATACCCACAGCTCCTGAGCAGTACTGCCCTCCCTGGGCTCCTGACTCCTGTTCTCTGTCCCATGACCTGAGGCTGCTTGAACCTGGTGGGAGGTTCCCAGGACAAAGCCCAGGAGCTGGGTGGGGCACTAGGGGCGCTGAGGTGCCCATCACAGCCCTGAGATTTGGGGTGTGTGCTGCAAGAGGCCACGCCCCCGGGCAGGTGAGGGAGGCTTCAAACCCTACCCAGTCCCTGCCACCAGCCAGGTCAGCCCCAAGTTACCCCACAGCCGGTGGTGCTGAGTTTCCCTTTCTCCTCTTGGGAAGGAGGCCACCCGGTGGCTGCAGCTCCCCCCTGCCCTGAGGTTTGCAGCCTTGAGTGCCCACGGAGGTACTCCATAGCCAACAGCCCCATCCAGGTGTGCACAGCCCTCCAAAGCATGTGGTGCACCTCCAAGGCCTTCTGTTTGAGTTCTTGTGATGGTCCTGGGGGTAGGGTAAGTAGATGAGGAAACTGAGGCTCAGAGATGTGGCCCAGTCCAAACTTAAGTCTCTGAGATGAGGTTGTGTGTACAGGGTCACCAGCTGGTCAGGGGCATCACCAGCTTGTCAGGGGCCTCACCAGTGACCAGAGCTGGGGATTTTCCTGCCAGAAGGACTCCAACCAGCTTTGGAGCCGGTCCAGGCCCTGTGCTGGGTGTGGCAGGGGGGTCTGAGGAACTCCTCCCAGTGGGTGGGGAAAGGAAGCTGTGCTGGGGAGCCAGGAGGGGGGGCTAGCACCTGAGAGCCCAGGGAAGGGGTGCAGGCAGATCACACACACACACACACACACACACACACACGGGGGAGATGGCAGGAGGCATCGTGGTGTTTGGTGGTCATGGAAGATTTCTGAGAAGCCCACAGGAGGGCATGTTGAGGGACAGAGTTGAGAGGATCAGCTGAACCACCCACAGGGCTCCTGCTGCCAGGCCAGGCTGTAGTGTCCCTGATGACAGGGAATGTCAAACACAGAGACCACAAGCACAGAGAACTCCAGCAGCCAGCAGCTCATGCCAATCTTACTGCTTCTACTACCCCTGCCCCCAGACAGCAGATCATTTCATCTGTGAATGTTTCTGGATACAGCTCTGGAAAAGAAGCACTCATTTCAAAAATCATAACCACAATACCCATATACAACGGAAACATTTTAAAGTAACTCCTTAATGTAGGTGGAGTATCCCTTATCCAAGATGCTCAGGACCAAAACTGTTTCGGATTTCAGAGTTCTTCTGATTATGGAATATTTGTATATCCTTTATCAGGGAAGCATCCCTTATCTGAAAAATCCCAGATCCAAAATGCTCCAAAATCCCAAACATCATGTCAGTGCTCAGAAAGTTTCAGTTGTGTTAGTTTTCTGTTACTTTAACAAATACCCAAGATGAATCAATTTATAATGAGGAAAAGGTTAATTTTGGCTCGTGGTTTTAGAGGTTGCAGTTCACTCATGATTGAGCAGATCCATTGCCTGAAGACCTTTGGTGGAGAGGCAGCAGATCATGGTAGGAATGTGTGATGTAGCAGGACAGTCGGCCTCATGGCTGGGATCTGAAAGCCACACAGGAGACCCAGGTCCCACCATCCCAAGGGCACATCCCTCTGTGACCTAAAACTTCCCACATAGTGTTACCTCTGGGAGTTTCTACTACCTCCTGATAGGGCCATACTGGGATACAAGCATTTAACACATAAGCCTTTGGGGGACATTCTAGATCCAAGCTCTAGGAGTAGGGATGCTCAATGTATATCACCAAATGCCCCCAAAGTATTGTAGTTCCCAGTTCAGGCTGCAAACACGTAGACATCTTACACTTTATTTGAATGAGATCAAAACCAAAGTCCGTATTGGCAATTGGTTGTTTCTCTTTCATCTTTTTACCTTTCCTTGTGATTTATTTATTGAAGAAACAAAAGTCATCTGCCCTGTGGGATTCCCAGTCTGGGTGTTGGTGACTGTCTTCCTGGTGTTGTTTAACATGTGCCCTGTCCCCTGCATTCCTGTATTTAGGACTTAGCCCTAGAAGCTTGAGGAAATTGAGGTGCAAATGTTTTGTGGCATGACTGGTCTGCAGGAGATGCCGTGTCCTTCCCTGGGCGGTGGCGGGGGGGCATGAAATGTCTGTTTATCTCTTTTATGGTGTGAGGAGCTGGTGTTGACCATTGCCTAAATCCACTAACTCTCCTATGGTAATAGAAGGTGGTGGTCCAGTATTGTCACTTACTCCTCATTTCTTAGCTGGAATTCTTTTCCAGCTGGGGATTTCCCTTCATCTCCTTGGTTCACCTCTGGCACAGTGTGAGCAAAGGCTGGATCAACGCTTGATCTGATTTTTCAGTTTCAAAAAAATGAATTAATTCCCTACTCTCCTCCAAAATGACTAATTATTTGTTTTGTATCATGTGGTCTGATAACTTAAACAGATTTGTGTACTCTGCTGCAGCTGCTATCCTTATTGATGCTCTGGTGGCCCATTTGTGGCCAATGGGAACCTCCTCAGGCTGCTTCCTGAATCATCTGACAGGTCCCAGGAGTCTTGGGTGGCTTCCTTGAATTTGGACATGGTGGCTATGGGATAGGAAGGTGGAATTGTTTAGTTTCTCCCACTCAGTGTCCTCCTGGCAGCAGAGGGGTGAGCTCATAGTGGAAGGCTGGCTGGGGCTCACCCCACACCAGGTCCACTGGCTGTGATACAGGAGGGGAAGTCAAGGCCCCCAGGAATTCATGACTCATGATCCCCAGGCCCTGGAACCTCATTAAGTGCTTCTTGAGCCACAGAGGGCTCAGGGCCAAGCCCTAAGTTTAGCTAGTGATTCTTCCAGGTCCCAGCATACCTCCCTGCACCCGGGAAGGCCTCCTCCTCCCTCCCCACACAGTCCAGAGCATCCAGAGCAGGGCCACTGGAGGGAGGCGGGTGCAGTGGAGAGGTAGGCCAGGCTTGTGTTCTCAGCTCAGAGCTTCCTACTTGTGCTGTAGAGATGATCACCCCAGCCTGCATGTATCTCCCCCATTTTCCAGAGACAGGGCCTTCCCATGTCACCCAGTCTCTGGCACTAAGCCTCTGGGTTCAAGTAAACCTCTAGCCTCAGCCTCCGAGTAGCTGGGGCAGCAGGGTATGCCACAGTGCTTAGCTTGGCTTCTTTTTGATACAGCTTTCAGTTTTGAAAGCAAAATGGGGAGACAGAACGAGGGGAGGGGCAGAGGCCTGGGGGGGTTTACTTTAAAAGGACAGAGTTGCCTGGAAAGAGAGGTGAGGAGTGGGGAAAGGCCGCAGCCGTCTTGGGCCAGGCTTCCTGGCTGGGTGTGATCCTGCTTCCCTCGACTGTGCCCAGGGCAGCCTCTGCAAGAAGCTTCCCGGAGCCCTGCGGCCAGGCTGGCTGTGAGGCCAAGGCAGTTCTGGAAACAGTGACCAGCCTGCCCGCCGGGCCCCTAGCAGGGCTCCATTAGTGGCTCGAGTGCCTCTGCCAGAGTTAGCATTTTCATTTTCGTGGTCTCAGATGTGCCGCTAGGGAGCATTTCCCTTTGCCAGTCTCCCTGCTGATGGAAGAGGCCTGTAAACAAAGGCGTCCTTAATGAGTGCAGGGGGTGGGGTGACCGCAGCCTGTGGGCGGGCAGGGCCTCAGCATGTGGGGCTCCTGGTGGGGGTCCAGCTCAGCCCGCATGCCTGGGTGCCCGGATACTTGGGCATGATTTTCTTCTAGAAGGATCTGCTTAGGGTCTGGGTGGGCTCAGCCACACCTGGCTGGCCAGCCCCTCCTCCTGACTTGGAGGGATGAGAAGTTGCCCTTCCCTGCCCACCTCTTGCTGCCCAGGTTACCTCTGTCTGCCCTTGTGTGCTTGGGGGACATCCTCTGCTGGCTCTCAGATGCCCGCCTCCCCGCTGGGGCCCTGCATATACCCATGTTAGCTTGGCTTGTGGCCTGTACGCCTGCCTCTCCTACCAGACTGGAGGACTTTTGAGGGCAGGGACCATGTCTGGTTCCTCTGTTCAGCAAGTGCTGGGCACAGAGTAGTCCACACTGATGAAGGACTCATTCTTTATAAATAGACCCATGTTTGAATCCTGGCTTCAAACCAGATCTGTGTGCTTACAAAGAACGCGTGTTTTTTCTGACTATGTGGTCATAGACAAGTTACTTGCCCTCTCTGAGCCTCAGTTCTCTCATCTGTCAAGTAGGGATGGATAATCGTAGGCCACCCATAAGGTTATTGTGAGAATTAAATTGAGGGACTATGGTGGTCTCAGCACAAGGCCTGGTAAATAATAGATTAATTTCTGAGTCTAAATCAACGTCTGGATTTTTGCTTCAGTCAACACACAAGTATATTCAGGTCACTCTCTGGACCCGGCCCTGGCCAGGTGCTGGGTATATGCAGTGACCAAGAACAGCATGGCCTTGCCCTCAGAGGACTGCTGTTCCTAGTGTCAGTCACTGAATACAAAGTCACTCAGGCATTTAATGTATTTAGCTCAGTAACTGTAAGTATCTAAGAAAAAGTGGCACAGCCATGGGTCTGATGGATGGGTCCTGACCTTGCCTGGAGCCAGGGAGGGCTTCCTAGAGGAGGAGGATGGAACTGAAGGATGAATGGAGGTCAGCGGGGTGAAGAAGCAGAAGAGGAGCAGGTGTAGGGCTCCTGCCCAGAGACTAGAGCACCCAGGGCTGGGGCAGTGGTGGGAGCAGAAAAACGAGGCTGAAGGGATGGGGGCAGAGTCCATTCAGGAAGTGACACAATCAAGTCAGGGGTGCTGGTGTGTGTGTAGGGGGGGAGGCAGGTGTGGCTGCAGATGCTGGTACAGTGTCCTCAGGACGAGGTGATGGGGCTTGGGGCAGGGTGGGATGGGAGGAGGCAGCGCCTGAGCAGCTGGCCCTGATGGAGACCTGCGGAGTGAAGAGGCCAGTGTGGCTGCCAGATTCCACTCAGGCTGGAGCAGATGTGGCGGGAGACGGAGGAGGCGGGCGGGAGGGAGCGGGAGCCGATCGGAGCCGCGTGGCCGAGTTGGAGGAGCCCGCAGGTGCGGGGGCTGTGCCGGGGTCTTACCGAGTCCCACTGGGTTCGTGGCGCTGACGGGCGCAGCGCAGGACTCCTCCCCATCCTGGGAGGCACACACCCCCGTTCCCCTGGAGCCGGGTGTTCCCTCAATGCGCCCCATCGTGTCTCCACCCAGGTCATCCCAGACTGGAAGGAGCAGGAGTGGGACCCTGAGAAGCCCGACGCCTACGCCGGCATCTTCCATTTCCACTTCTGGCGCTTTGGGGAGTGGGTGGACGTGGTCATTGATGACCGGCTGCCCACAGTCAACAACCAGCTCATCTACTGCCACTCCAATTCCCGCAATGAGTTCTGGTGCGCTCTGGTGGAGAAGGCCTATGCCAAGTAGGTGCCAGCCGAGAGCAGGCTTGGGTGGCCACTTCCATGGGTGGGCACACAGCGAGCTCAGAGCCCAGGGCCTGGGCATGGCCAGCTAGAGCTGTGCTGGGTAGGGTAGAAGCCTGGACCCCAGGAGGGAAGGCATGGCTACCTGGGGTGGGCCTGGGGCCCAGGCAGGTGTTCTGCGTTAGCTGGGGTCAGGGCCAATGCTCACCTTCATAGCAGTGGGTTTCTCGAAGGTGTTGTGGTGGGACCTTCCCTAGGCGCCTCTGCTGGGAATGTGGTAACGGAGATCCAGCCTGAGTGTGGAGGTTGGGCAGATGCCCTGCTCAGAGGCCTCTCCTGTCCACTCACCATGTCTCTACCTGACTGTCCATCTATACTATTTTTGCTGACCCCTCTTCCTTCTCTGTGCCAGACTCTGTGTCCCCAGGACAGGACCTCACACAGAATGTGCATGAACAGAAGTTTGCTGAGCTGTAGAGGGCTTTGGAGCAGAGTGACCTGTCCAGGCCTTTGCAGCACTGGGGTGGGCCTGGACAGGAGTGTCGGGGCCAGAGACCAGGCAAGCCAGATTGGTGGGAGCCGGTCCCTGGTTCCTCCTCCCAGACCCATGTGTCAGTCTCCTAACAGAAGAGGGGAAGGGAGGGAGAGTCCAAGGAAAGGAAGAAGGGAGGAAAAGGAAAAAACTAACAGTAAAAACAAATCCAACAGAACAACACTGGCAGGTTCCATTTGTAATCTTAGGAAAGCAAAGCCTGCCCCCTGGTGGCCACTGAGTCTCCACCATTGATGCTGCCCTTCTGGAGAGAAGGCTCTGGTCTTGCTCTTGGGGTTTTTTGTTCTGTTTCGTTTTTAATATATATTTTTTAGTTGTAGATGGACACGATACCTTTATTTGATTTATTTATTTTTATGTGGTGCTGAGGATCGAACCTAGTGCTTCATACATGTGAGGCGAGCGCTCTACCACTGAGCCACAACCCTAGCCAGCCCTTGCTCTTGGGTTTGGGGATTTTAAAAAATTTTGTATTTATCATTGTTTCCTTCCTCCATTTCTCCCTCCCTCTTTCCGTCACTCCCTCCCTCCCTCTGTCCCTTCCCTTCTTGACAGAGTCTTGCCATGTTGCCCAAGTTGATCTCAAACTCCTGGGCTTAAGCAGTCCTCCTGCTTTAGCCTCCCAAATAGATGAGGCTGCTGGGGTGTCACCATGCCTGGCTTGCTTTTATTTTTTTAATAAGCAGTTTTATAGTAAAATAAACCCAACACAACATTTCTCATTTTCATCGTGTGTACGCCCACTGTTCAGTGGCATGCAACGAATTCACCACTGTCTACACCAGAAACTTTTTTATCATCCCTATTGAAAACTCTTACACATCGAACAGTAGCTTCCTCCTTCTCCTCCCCCAGTCCCTGGGGACCTCTGTTCTGCTTTCTGTCTCTGTGAACTTGCCCTATTCTAGGTTCCTGGTGTAAGTGGAGTACTGTATTAGCCCCTCTGGGTCTGGCATCTTCTACAAAGCACCATGTTTTCAAGGTCCATCTGTGTTATAGCAGATATCAAAGGTTCCTTTCTCTTAACGGCTGAGTGACAGAGAAATACATCACATTTTTAATACATCACATTTTGTTTCTCCATTTGTCCATTGGATTCCTGGCCTGCTTCCACCTTCGGCTCTTGTGCATAGTGCTGCCGTGAACATGGGTGTGTCCATGTGAATCTCTGCTTTCGCTTCTTTTGAGCACACACCTAGGAGTGAATTACAGGGCAATTATGTTTAACTTTTTGAGGAATGACCAAACTGTTTTCCACAGTGGCTGCATACTTTGTGCTTGCTTATTTTTTTACATTTACTTTTTAAAAACATTTTTTTTGTAGTTGTAGATGGACAGCATGCCTTTATTTATTTGTTTATTTTTATGTGGTGCTAAGGATGGAATCCAGTGCCTCACACATGCTAGGCAAACACTCTGCTACTGAGCCCCAGCCCACATTTACTTTTTAAATTATAAAATGAAAGATTTGTAGAAAGATCAACCCCTGCCTTCCCCTTCCCTGTTTTGGTCTGAGTTAACGAAGAGCATCACCATTGTAGCTGTCCTACTCTGCTCTGTCACCATTTATCCTCTTTCCTACCTGGGCCTCTTCCTTCCCCTCTTCCCCTCCCCCACCAATGGCAACTCTTTCAACTTTTTTCTTTTTTGGTGATAATTTTTTAAAAATTTTGTTTATTCTTTTTAGTTATATGTGACAGTACAGCGTATTTTGTCATATTATACATAGGAGAGTATAACTTATTCTAATTGGGATCCCGTTCTTGTGGTTGTACATGATGTGGAGTTACCCTGATCACATATTGAAATACAAGGCTGGGAAAGTTGTGTCCAGTTAATTCTAATGTCCTTCCTAATCTCCTCCTCCTCCCTTCCCGGCATTCTCCTTTGTCTAATCTAATAAACTTCTACTCTCCTTCCTACCCTCCCTTGTTATGGGTTAGCATCCACATATCAGAGAGAACATTTGGCCTTTAGTTTTGGGGAATTGGCTTATTTCACTTAGCCTGATAGTCTCCAGTTCCATCCACTTACTGGTAAATGCCATAATTTCATTCTTTTTTTATGACTGGGTAATATTCCATTGAGCATATATACCACATTTTCTTTTTCCATTTATCTGTTGAAGGACACCTAGGTCGGTTCCATAGCTTGGCTATTGTGAATTGAGCTGCTGTAAAATTGATGTGGCTTTAACTTTTTTTTTTTTTTTTTTTAAGAAAAATGGGGGGCGGAGCTGGGAATCAAACTCAGGCCTTATGCATACCTCCAGCCTCTTTCAACATCTGTGAGACATTTTTGTTTGTGGGTGACCTTATAAAAACCATGTTTCGGGGTGGGTGTTGTTTTTGTTTGTTTGTTTGTTTGTTTGTAGTGCTGGAAATTGAATCCAGGGCCTTAGGCATGCTAAGTGTTGCAGTTTTGTGTATATATATTTTCAATTTCCATCAACAGTATTATGTTATATATCTCTTTCTGCTTCTGAGTTTTCATTCATTCATTACTATGTGGCACATAGTAGGTACTTAAAATTTTTCTTAAGAGTTTTTTTATTTTACTCCCAGGAAATGGGACTTTGGTCCCTCTGATTTTATGGTTTGTCCTTCCTGGCTAATAAGTGTTTTTTTTTTTTTTTTTAAGTGAATCATGGTATACTTAAAATCACAATTAGAATCCACTTGTATTGCTTTTCAAATGTACCAAGCAAGCGCTAGGCTAGCATTTCCCTACCTCAGGAATTCTGTACATTTTCCACAGCTGCTTCATGTTCCAGAGTATAGGTACAGCTTTAGTTTTTAAAATCAATTCCCCATTGTTAGGTATTGAGGTTATTTCTGCTTTTATATCATTATAAATCATGTCACTTATCCAGAATTGGGGTGTCAAAAGGTATATGAGCCTTTAATGCTTTTGAAATGAATGGCTAGGTTTTGGGACATCTGATCTGTGAAGCTGGAGCTGCTAAGTCCTGGGGAAATTTGAGTGGAAATTGACATGGTTCACTGGGAGTCGGGTCTGGGTTCTAGTGTTGGCTATGCTGTGGCCTACTGGGTGACCGTAGCAGTTTGCTTGAGCTCTCTGAGGTTCAAAACTCTCCCCTACAAGGTGAAGGGTGTAGCCCAGCTGGGATGCACTGGAAATTCTTGCTCACTGCTCCCCAGGCTGGCGGGCTGTTACCAGGCCCTGGATGGAGGCAACACAGCGGATGCACTGGTGGACTTCACGGGCGGCGTTTCTGAGCCCATCGACCTGACTGAGGGGGACTTCGCCAATGACGAGGCCAAGAGGAACCAGCTCTTTGAGCGTGTGTTGAAGGTGCACAGCCGGGGAGGCCTCATCAGTGCCTCCATCAAGGTGAGAGCCCAGAGCAGACCTCCATATCACCAACCCTGACTGGGACAGGAGGTGGCTGTGAGGACCCAGGGCCAAGTCCAGACCCTCAGCCTCGTGAGCAATGGGAGCAGTTGGAGGGAGCAGCCCCTGCCCTGCCCAAGTTGTGCAGCCCCACACCACCCACTCCATGCTGACCCTTCTGGGCTTTGGGCATCTGCATCTGACTCAGTCAAAGTGGGAGGCGTCAGAAGCTGGAAGCAGATGGAAGAGAGAAGGAGCCCTGTGGTGGGCCGGCCCAGGGCTGCCACCTCAAGAGGCTCATGTGGCTTCATTCATTGCTCAGGTCTTGGAGGAGAAAGCTCAGCCCGGTGAAGACAGGCTTTGACCCAGGTTTAGCTAACCCCCTGGTACACCCACAAACTGGCTCTAGAAACCCAGAAGGCCCTGACTTGTAGTGTTTTCTGGTTGAGGGGTGTAAATATTTCCACCAGGGTTAATTTCCAGTTACCGATGTTTTAACAGTCAATTCTCAAAACCTCTGCCTATTTCTGGGTGTGGTGGCACACACCTGTAATCCCAGCTACTTGAGAGGCAGATGCAGACAGGGGAATCACAAGTTCAAGGGCAGCCTTGGCAATGTAGAAAGACCCTATCTCAAAATAAAAAGGACTGGGGCTGTTGCTCAGGGATAGAACACCCCCAGCTCGATCCCCAGTACCATAGAAAGAAAAAAGAAAAACCCTGAATATTTAATGATCAGCTGAGCCAGGGTGAATCAGCTTCTGCCCACCCTGGGCTGGCCCCACTGCAGACACCTTCCTTTACGAGAGACTGCTGCCTAAAGCTCTGAACACCCCACCACTCCGTCACCACCCAACAAGGTCTATCTGTATGGGAGGGTGCAATTCCTGTACCGGCCTGGAGGGGGCGGTGTGGCCTCCTTGCTCTGGTTCCCCCCTGGGTTTGGCTTCCAGCCTGGCCCCACCTGTCTGAGCACCTGTGTCTTCCTGCAGGCTGTTACAGCAGCTGACATGGAGGCACGCCTGGCGTGCGGCTTGGTGAAGGGTCATGCTTATGCTGTCACCGACGTACGCAAGGTGCGCCTGGGCCATGGCCTGCTGGCCTTTTTCAAGTCAGAGAAGCTGGACATGATCCGCCTACGCAACCCCTGGGGCGAGCGGGAGTGGAATGGTCCCTGGAGTGACACGTGAGGCCTGGGGATGGGCACCACGGGCATGAGAGTTTGGGCAGGGATGGGGTGGGCTCCATGGGGGTGCTGATACTGGACCTGGGCCTCAAAGGGTCTGGGGGAGGATGAAATTAGAAAAGACTTCCTTTGGAGTATTGTGTGGGGCAGTGGATTCAGCAAGGACAGAGGCCTGGAGGACAGCTGACCTCTAAGGACATAGTGACCAGTGTGGTGAGTGGGTTGGGAAGGAGGGTAAGAAGGAGGGTAAGGAGGAGGCCACCAGCTGACAGTGAACGGGGTTGATGCTCTGTGCTTGTTCACGGCCAAGAGGCCTGGAGTGGAGTAGGTGAGGCCCCGCATAGTGACAGGTCACATCCCCTCCCTCTCTGTCTGCGGCTTTTCTTCCTGTCCTCCTAGCCCTAGCATGATCACAACCCATGGGAGAGGGCAGACAGGGCTTCTCTGAGCAGGGCCCCAGGTATCCCTAACCACACTGCACTGAGGGTGGCCTCGCGCTGAGCTGTCCCTCAGGGTGGTTCTGGTGGGGCCCGCCCTCTTATTCTGCTCCCTTCCTTCCTGGCACTCACATCCCAGCTCAGAAGAATGGCAGAAAGTGAGCAAGAGTGAGCGGGAAAAGATGGGTGTGACCGTGCAGGACGATGGCGAGTTCTGGTGAGTGTGCTGGTGCCTGGAACCTGGGTCAAGGGGACCACTTGGACCTGGCAAGGAGCACCTGGTGGTGGGGGAGTTGGCTGCCAGGGCTCCAGCACAGCCCCATCAGAAGCTTGCTGTGTGGCTTGGGACAAGTCACACCATCTCTCTGAGCCTTGGTTTCCTCCACTGTATAATGAATTGGGCAGCAATGGGCCCTTTAGCCCTGCAGCCCCCTCTGCCCACCTGAGGGACCCCCGGGCTGCTCTTGGCAAGCAGGCTGGGGCACCAGCAGGTAGGGGACTGAGCACAGGGGCACACTGTGGTAGCCTGAGTGCTCAGAGTAGGGAGAGAAGAGGAGAGGCCTCGCAGAGGAGCTGACTCCTGAGCTGAGATTTGGGGTACAGAGTAACCTTTGATGGTTGAGGAGAGAGACATGCCCCAGAGGTGAGAGGGCACACCTCTCAAATTCAGGACGAATTCAGAGGAGAGAGCAGCGGGTGTCTGGCGTGGCTGGGAAGACAACGGAAGCCTAGACCGAGGAGCGTGGGGGCCACCGCTGCCTTCATTCCCCTGTGTCCTGCCCCGACTCTGCCAGGCTGTGTTGTTCTTCAACAGAACACCTGGTTTGTTGGGGCTGGGGATGTAGCTCAGTTGGTAGAGTGCTTGCCTGCATGCACAAGGCCCTGGGCTCAATCCCCAGCACCACCAAAAAAACACCTGGTTTGGGAATTTAGCCTCTCCTGGAGACGTATGGGTTGCCCATTGCGATGTGGGTGCCATGAGGCCTCCTAGGCAGACCAGGGGCAGAGGGCAGTGATCCTGGCACCCCATCGAGGACCCTCCTACAGATGCCAGGGGAGCTGCTGCCCGAGTCCACCCAAGGCCTTCATTCTATTCTCCTGTGGACAGGATCTGCTTTGTTCACTCTGGCTCAGGGGTCAGTCGAGCCCTTGGCCTGTGGAAAGGACTCCTGTTAAGGCCCTTGTTCCATGCACTTCCCCTGGCCTCGCCCAGGCTCCTGGAGGTGTGCATAGCACAAGGTGCCTATAGCAATGTCCTGGCCACGGTCACCCACCTACCCACCGCTCTATTGAGGCTTCATAGCTGATGTACAATACAATGGATGGAAACCAGCTTTATACACTGCAGAGGGCAGTACTCAGTTATCCATCCTCTATATGCGTATAGCTGTACAGCCGGCCTTTGTTAGCTACTCCGTTAAAGGTTGTGTGCCAGCTGTTATTGCTGTACTTGATTTCTTCACTAGCCCTGTGAGGCGCCTGCTGGTAGATTCAGCCCCATTTTACAAACGAGGAGACCATTCTCTGCGGGAGGCCATGCCCAGTCACTCCTACGTGAGCCGTGGTTTAGAGCATAAAGGGTGGGCAGGCAGGAGGGCCTGGGGGCTGCCTGGCTCAGCCCCTTCCCTCACCCAGGATGACCTTCGAGGACATGTGCCGCTACTTCACCGACATCATCAAGTGCCGCCTGCTCAACACATCCTACCTGAGCATCCACAAGACGTGGGAGGAGGCCCACCTGCGCGGTGCCTGGACTCGGCACGAGGACCCTCGGCAGAACCGCAGCGGGGGCTGCATCAACCACAAGGACACCTTCTTCCAGAACCCGCAGGTGGGCATCCTCAGGGACCTCACCCTGCCTCTGCAGCGACTGCAGCGCCCCCCTGCCCCTCTGTCCCTCCAGGGGCTCCTGCATGACCTCAGGTACATCTCTACCCCTCCTTGGGTCTCGGCATACCTGTGTGTACAGTAGATGGTCGCAGCAGTCCCAGCTGGCTGTCACGAAGCCCTACACTGACCTGCAGACAGTAAAAATGAGGAAACTGTGACTCAGGGACTTCTGAGTGTCTGGTCCAGAATCTTCAGGACATTTAGTGGTGGAGCTGAGGATCAGTGCGTGGTTTCATGGTAGCACAGTCGTGCCTGTTCCTAGGGAACTTGGCCGGTCTCAGCTCCCCGGCAGCAGCCTCTGCCCTGCGGCTTCCTCACTCACAGCCTGTGAGCACTGCTCAGTCCTGGGAATCAGTGTGCCTTTATTGAGCATCAACTAACTACATGCCAGGCCCTGAGCTGAGCCTTCACGCAGAGTAGCCATTGTAGGCGTGGGCAGGCCCATGCTACAGAGGAGGGATGCAGCGGCTCAGAGAGGTGATGGGACTGGCCCAAGCTCACACAGCCAAAGTGTCTGGTCCTGGTTCAGGAGCCCAGGCACCCCGGAGCCAACAGGGTGTCTGTCTCTCCTTGGCCATCCCTGCAGTACATCTTTGAGGTCAGGAAGCCGGAAGATGAGGTGCTGGTGTGTCTCCAGCAGCAGCCGAAGCGGTCCACCCGCCAGGAGGGCAAGGGCGAGAACCTGGCCATTGGCTTTGACATCTACAAGGTGAGGCCAGCTGGACCCCTGCTGAGGGTGAGGAGAGCACGGGAGAATTTGGTTTGCCCGTGTCTGGGGAGAACACTCTAGAGCACCTCAGTCTCTGACAGCACCCCAGCTGCTCCGTGACATCATGGGGATGCAGTGGTGTGGGCCCCTCCAGGGCATGGCTTCTGTGGGAGCTCCCAAGACCACAGGCCCAGGTGAGGGAGGGGAGGACTGGGGCTGGGGCTGGGCTCTGAGGGCTGCTGCCCTTCCTCAGAGCTCAGAGCCCTCTCCTGGGACCTCCCTGTGTCAGAGGCCATGCCAGGACAGGTAGGAGCATAGTTGAGATGAGCCAGGTGGGCTCACTGTGGCCACTCCCCACAACCTGGAAGCTGAGGCCATCCACGTGTGAGGCCCAGTGTGTGGTGACAGGTGGCAGAGTGGGATCCATGTCCTTGTCAGACCCCATGAACTTGATGAAACCACATGGGTGTGCTGGGTCCCTGGCCTTCAGTGTGTTCAGTCACATTGAGGCGATCTGTTCACATCATTGTACTGCATTCGCCACAGGCTGGCCTGTTGTGACACCGTGACCTTGACATGTCACGGCCTTCACTCAGGAGATCACAGCGTATTGTGGCACTTACTCTAGGACTTGCCTAGCATGTCCTGGCAGCTGGTGATGTCATTTCATAGATTTGTGCCATGGTTTGGGCAGGCCATGATACAGTAGTCCCCTCCTCCATGGCGGGTAGGTCCCAGACCCCCACCCCGTGGATGCCTGAAGCTGCAGATAGTACCAAGTCCTATGCACTCCAGTGTCACCAAGACGACCACTAAGTCATTGGTGCATAGATATGCTGGAAAAAGCCTAATCCTTGCCCTGAGGGGTGAAAGGAGCTGGTGGGAGATTACACCACACTATTCAGAACAGCAAGAGATTTTAAATTTCTGAATTGTTTATTTCTGGAATTTTCCATTTAATTTTTTCAGCATATAGTTGACTATAAGTAACTGAAACAGTGGAAAACAGAATCATGGATATGGGGGACTGCCGTACCTGATCCTAGTATAACAGTGAGAAACTCCAAGGGACTTGTTATTAGGGGGTTCCTTGTGATCCGCTTCCTTTGTGGTACTCGGGATTGAGCCCAAGAGTGCTCTGCTACCAAGCTACATCCCAGCCCTTTTTAATTTTAACTTTGCGACTGGATCTCACTAGGTTGCTGAGGCTGGTCTTGAACTTGCGGTCCTCCTGCAGTCCAAAACAGCTGTGATTACAGTCATGTCCCACTGCCCTAACTCCTTGCCTTCAGTTTTGTTTTTTGTTTTTGTACCAGGATTGAACCCAGGGGCACTTAACCACCAAGCCATATCCCCAGCCTTTTTATATTTTATTTAGAGACAAGGTCTTGCTAAGTTGCTTGGGGGCCTCGCTAAGTTGCTGGGGCTGGCTTTGAACTCATGATCCTCCTATCTCAGCCTCCAGAGCCTCTGGGAACACAGGCATGCCCCACCATGCCCGGTGCCCTTCGTCTTTAATAGCTTTTATTGAAATACAACTCATAGACCATCCAATTTACCTATTCAGAGTATATGATCTAGAGACTTTGGGTGTGGTTACGGAGTTAGAAACTACAATTTTAGAACATTTTCATCCCCCCAAAATGAAACCCCTCACCCAATCTAGGACCTGCTTCCCCTCAGCTTAGGCAAAACCCTAATCCACTTCTTTATAGATTAGCCCATTTTGGAATTTCACACGCATGGGTTCCATTGTCCTTTCCTGGTGGCGAGGGGACATGGGGCAAGCTGGGTATGCCAGGTGGCACAGTGGCCAGCCCCTCCTGTGTCCGCAGGTGGAGGAGAACCGCCAGTACCGCATGCACAGCCTGCAGCACAAGGCCGCCAGCTCCATCTACATCAACTCGCGCAGCGTCTTCTTGCGCACGGACCAGCCCGAGGGCCGCTACGTCATCATCCCCACCACCTTTGAGCCAGGCCACACCGGCGAGTTCCTGCTCAGAGTCTTCACGGACGTGCCCTCCAACTGCCGGTGCGCAGGGACTGCAGTGGGCCAGGGTTGCGGGGTGACAGTCCATGCCAGGCTGAGCAGAGTCTGCAGTCCCAGGGGCACTTGAGGTCTGCCCAAGGTGTGGAGCCTGGGCATCCAGCCTCCCTGGGCTGACCTCCTGCCCATCCCCTGCCCCTTCTCCCCTTCCCCGTGTCTGTCCTGGCCTCTCGGGCACCACCACCAACAGCAGCTCCTGTGTGCACTGCACTTCCCAGTTACAGAGAAGCTTCCACTCACCTCATTTGATCTTCCCACACCCCCAAGTAGGCGGCCTGGCCACTCTGTTTTACAAATGAAAACAGGGATCATGGTTAGAAAGGTGCCCAAGGTCATGCCGAGGTGTGGTCATGTCAGGCTGGCCCACTACCCAGCCTGATTCTAGCCTTGTGGCCTTTCTCCTCTCCCTGAGGGAGCTGGCTCTGGGGATCAGGGACGGCCGAAACCACCCCTGTCCCTGCGGGAGAGCAGACCTTGTGTATCCTCCACTAACCTCGCCACCTTGTCATGCAGCCCAGACTCACTGTCCCCAGGAGAGGGCCCTGCCCACATCCCAGCCCCAGGCAGCAGCTTCCCGTGTGGTCTTCAGATGACCCGGGCCTTGCCACCCCCTGCTCCACCGCTTTCCAGCTGTGTGGGAAGGGGCTTTCCCCTGGGGAAGCCTGGTGCTTCCCCCCCTATAAAATGGACAAATAATAGTCCTGTGTGTCCCCAGACTTTTTGAGGATTAGAAATGACACCACCTATGTCACCCAGCAGAGGACCTGGCACTCAGTAGTAGGTGCTCATAAAATTATTCCCCTCTCCCTACCTATGGGATAGGTGCCCCTGGATAGGGATAGAGAAGGCAGGAAGCCGTGAGCTTAGGTGGCTCGTTCTGCCCATAGAGATGGACCCAGGACTAAATGAATGTCTGTATTAAACCCTCCTCTCCCCTTGCTCACTCTGAACCCCTTTCTCACTGTCTCCCCGGGCCTCTTTGTCCTTCCTGGATTAGAGAACTGCGCCATGATGAGCCCCCCCGCACCTGCTGGAGCTCCCTGTGTGGCTACCCCCAGCAGGTGACCCAGGTACATGTCCTGGGGGCTGCTGGCCTCAAGGACTCCCAGACAGGTGAGCTCGCCCAGGGAAGGGCCTGTGTCTCCCTCCTGGCAGTTGCCCCAGGCCCCCTCCTTGCTCAGCCTCCACCACTCCCTTCTGACACTCAGCTGGTGTCAGACCTTTCCTCACACCCACTGTAGGCCAGCCACTGCTGGGGGATCCTGGCTCAGAGAGGAGTAAGGCTGCTTCTTGCTCCCAGGGTCTTCCTGGGTGGTAGGGAAGTCAGATGCTGGGACAGAGAGCTGGTAGGGAGGGCTCAGGGAAGGTGACCTGGAGGCTCGAGGAGGTACTATGGTAGGAAGCTTGAGCCAGACATGGCCAGGGCCCTCCTGCCATCTGCCAGTGTCTGGAAGTTAAGGCTCCCTGGGGTGGGCCAGGCTGTGCTCTCCCCTTCTGAATGCATGAGCCCAGGGAGGCACTTCACCACCCAGACATCTGTCCCACCCGGGCCCTGCTTCAGCCTCCACCTTCACCCCAGCTCCCCCTCCCCCTCCCTAGGGGCTAACTCTTACGTGATCATCAAGTGTGAAGGGGACAAAGTTCGCTCAACTGTGCAGAAAGGGACCTCCACACCTGAGTACAATGTAAAAGGAGTCTTCTACCGCAAGAAGCCAAGCCAGCCCATCACCGTGCAGGTGAGCCCACCTGCCCACAGGCTCCAGGGCAGAAAACCTTTGCTGGATTCTGGTTCTCCATCTGTCCCTGCCTCCCCATGTGGCTTTGGCATTCTCTTGCCTGCCCCTCCTGGTCACCCTCAGTAAGTGGGCCAGTTGTTTTAGCCAATGCAATCCCAAGACCCAGCAGGGTCAGTCTCTCGGCTGTGGACAATGGTCATCTCTGCTGACCTCGCCCACAGCCTCATAGCTATTCTTTAGATTCCCCTGTAGTGGCTCCACCTGGGAAAGTGGCTGGAGACCAGGGTGGCTGTTTCCTAAGAGCTCTGAGCAGGGGTGGGAAAGCCAGTGTCCTTGGAAGGCCTTCCCACCCCTCTCAGGCTGGTACATTATGATTTTGAGCTCATTACCAGGAAGTTCTGTATCCCCCCCAGGCTCAGAACAGCATCTCTTGGGTGAAAAAACTCTGTGAACAAATGCTGGGGTATCCCCGGAGAGCCTCAGTAGATTTTCTAAGTTTTCTTAACATTGGGTCCCACTGGATCAAATCACAGACTCATAGATATTGGAGTGGAAAGGACTCGACCCTCATATTGACCCTCATATTAAAGATGGGGAAACTAGCCGGGCACTGTGGTATACACCTGTAATCCCAGCAGCTAGGGAGACTGAGGCAGGAGGATCAGGAGTTCAAAGCCAGCCTCAGCAAAAGTGAGGCCCTAAGCAACTCAGTGAGATCCTGTCTCTATAAATAAAATACAAAATAGGGCTGGGGATGTGGCTCAGTGGTTGAGTGCCCCTGAGCTCAATCCTGAGTAGCCCGTCCCCCCAAAAAAAAATGATGGGAAAACTAGAGCAGAGGGTGTATCACTTGTCCAAGTTCATCCTAGGTCAGCAGCAGAGCTAATAAGAACAGATGTGACTTTATAGGTGGAAGAGCAGTTTGAGAGACGAGGAGCCTGAGACTCTGGATGGGGCATGCCCTTGGCCAAGGCAGACCACCCAGGGCTCCTTGGCCAGGCTTGCACTGCGGGAAGTGAGTTTGAGACCTAGCTGTCACCACCAGCACCTACCATAGACTATATGGCCCCTACCATAATCTTCTGTCTCCTCCCAGATCTGGAATCACCGAGTCCTGAAGGATGAATTCTTGGGCCAGGTGCACCTGAAGGCTGACCCGGATGACCTCCAGGCCCTGCACACCCTCCACCTCCGAGACCGCAGCAGCCGGCAGCCGAGCGACTTGCCAGGCACCGTGGCTGTGCACGTCCTCAGCAGTGCCTCCCTCACAGCTATCTGATGCCTGCCCATCTACCGGCCCCAACAGTCTCACCACCACCTGCATGTCCCCACCAGACTTGGGACCAGCCTGGGAGCCAGATGCTGGGGTCCTTTTCCACTCTTTTACTGACTTGCTGTGTGACTTTGGTAGATCTCTACCCTTCTCTGGACCTCAGTGTCCTGAGGGCCCCAAAGCATTCCCTCCTTGTTGGGGAGTCCCCTCCCCACCCCAGCTGTCACCACTGCTAAAGGACTCTATCCGTTGAAAACATTTTCCCCAGGCCCTGCTGTCTGCCGAGGAGTGCCAAGAAGATGTCACTTGTTTACACACAAACTGCCATGTCCCCAAGCCCCATGTTTCCTGTCCCTTGTTTCCCAGGCCCACATCAGTCTCCCAGAATTCACTTTTTCTGTCACTTACACTTGATTTCCAAGCTACTTTGAAAGAGTGCTTGCTGGGCATTTGCTGGGGTTCTGCTCAGGCTGGAATTTGGGACATGTGCAGGTGATTCCTGTTCATTCTCTAATCCTGCCCACTCAGCCATCCATTTTTCCCCCCAAAATGAAGAAGCAACGCTCACAAGTCAAAAGGTGAAGGGAACCACCCAGCCCCCACCTTGGGCCTCTGTCTTCAGGTCCCCCAGAGGCAGATGCCCAGGCAGGCTGCAGCTACCTTCTCATTCCAGGTTCTGATCCACTCTCAGCCCCTGGTTTGAGGCAGTGGCCCTCGTGGGAAGTAAAGGGCACCTCCCTGAGTCCCCTGCCTGATGTTGGAAGGAGTGAGCCCCGTTAGTGGGCCAGGCAGGCAGCGCGGCTGTGGGGACCCAGAGGGAGGCACAGGCTCCCCTTGCTGCAAGACCCCAGCTTCCCATAGGAGAAAGGACTCCAGGGTGGGTGGTGCCAGGCCTGCTGGGGTCAGGTCACCTATTGGGCATGGCAGGAGACAGGTGACTCCATTGCCTCCCCAGAAGCTCTCCACCCACATCTTCCCCCAACAGCTAATGGGGCCACAGTGCTCCTTTTACTGCCTGGACCAAAATGTTCATTTTAGTGTTCTCTGTATTTAAAAAAAAAAAAAAAGATCTCAGTTTTAGCCAGGGGGGTTTAAAGGAGATTCTGGATCCCCCTTTCTTTTGAAACCAGTTTTGCTCACCCTCTAATTTTATTTTGATTCCACCTGGGCAGGGACATGGGCGAAGTCAGGCCTTCTCAGAGGAGGTCTGCAGGAGGGTGACGAAGAGGGTGTTTGTGCTTGGGTGACTGCAGGCTGGCGCTGTGTTCTTGGAGAACTTCTGTGAAGTGCTGGTGCCGTGACCCACTCAGGGTTTCCTCTGTACCCTCCTTGGACTTCGGACCAGGCAAAGCAAATGGAAAGTCCAGCTGGCCCCAGGACAGCAATTCCTTTGGGAACCTGAATTTTCTTCTCCAGAGCTCACTGTTCAGTCCAGTGTCCTGGCTGGAGGTGCTGGATTCTCTGATATTGCCACCTTGCTCTGGGGCTGGCTCTGCTCCTGGGTCCTGCCCTGGAACTGAAAGACCTAGAGGACCCAGGGCTGGAACTGTGCATGTGTCCAGGAGCAAGTCACTTAAACCTCCTGTGCCTCTGATCTCTCCCTCTGCAAAGTGGGGCCAATGATTCCTATTTGTCAGCACCCACAGTGCTAAACAAGGGCAAAGCAACCCCTCTCTCTGTGTATCTCTGTATGCTACACACCATACACGTTCCTGTAATCACCGCTTCTTGTCTATTTCAAATTAAGATTCCTGAGTCAGGTATGCCAGCTTGGGCCTCTGGGGCTGACACGTGGGTCTTTGCTCAGCCATAGTCCCCTAGGTATAGGGGCAAACTGGGACCAAGTGGCTGATTTGTGTAGGTTTCAGCCTGGGGGCTGATCCTAGCCTCCCACCTACAGCAGAACTGGAACAGCAGCTCCTTCCCTTGAGGTGGGCCAGGCTGGTTCCTGGCTGTGCAGGGATCTCTGATCCCCAGGAAGGTGTGGGGTCCAAACAGGTGAGAATAGATGGTGGATCAGGGAGAGCAATTCACCTGTGCGCCCAGGAGGGCCTCAAGTCGGCATTCACAGATGGGCAGGGCCTCCAGCCCACACCAGCCAGACCTGGGCTTCAGTCCTTCTGGGGCCCACTGCCAGGCTGAGGGAGAGGAGGCCTGTTCTGTTCTCAGAATAAATGTTTCTGCAATCCAGAAATATCTTCTTGTGTCTGTCTTTCCCCCTCTGCAGGGGATGATACAATGGGTGACTGTCCTCTGGTCAGCAGGATAAGCCTACAGCCAGTCAGTGCTGTTGGCTTTACAAGCCTCGCCCTGGGGACACAGGGAGACAGTCCGTGCTCTGGAAGATGGATCTCCAATCACGACAAACACTGTAGGAAGATTGCTAGGCAGTGTGGGACTTCCCAGGGGACTCCTTTCGCCTGCTAGGTCAAGCAGGCCCAAGCCCTGATCCAGGGGTGCAGAGGCAGCCGCACCAAGGACACCATTAAAGGGCTTGTGAGGCCCAGGTGGATGCGGGAGACCAGGCCGACCTGTGGAGGGACCGAAGCTGCAGCTGGAGCTGGGAAGCTGGGGCCTGGCTCCCCGCACTCTGCCTTGCTTCCCTGGCGCTGTGGCCGTGGAGACTTCGTCCAGCAGGTGGTGCTGTTGGGCCATCGGGTCCCCACAGGCCCCCACCCATCCATGGTTGGTTTCCCTGCAGATGTACCCCAGGTATGGAGCCTAGGGAGACAAAAGTGCCTCTCCCTCTCTGGGGCCCAGAGCTATAGGCCAAGGGTGGCAAAGACAAAGGGCCAAGTCTCAAGAAGTCACCCTCCCAGCCCCGGGCTGCGCAATGCTAATAACAGGCTTTGTGCCCTTCTTTGTCCTCAGTCCCTTTCAAATCACACACTTTACCTCCCTTGGTATGTGTTCCTGGTGCACTGGGGTTGCCCCAAGTTGTCTGGTTCACAAAGTTTCTGGATGACTGTAGAATAAAGTGCACCCCACCCCCAGAACATGTTGTGGGGCTGTGTTGAGTTGGTGAGCTTCAAGGGGCACGGGCCAGTGTGTCTGGGAGCGGGTGCCAAGTGCTGAGCTAGCTAGGACCCGCCTCCTGCCATGGGCTGCCTGCCCCTGTGCTGTGGGAGTCTCACCCAGCCACCTTAGGAGACGGTGGGCTTGCAGGAAGGCAGGTGCACCTGAGCTGCCAGCAATCAGCGACCAAAACCAGAACAGACTTCCTGCCCTCGTGCCAAGTCAGCAGGTAGCAGGTTTGGGCAAATGACAGAGGCACCTGAGGCCAGGATGGGTGGGGGCCTGGGTCCCACAGGTCAGCACAGGGCTCTGCACAGAGCCCTGGACAGCCTCTGGACATTAGTCCCAGCACAGCCCATCCCCCATGCTGATGTCACCACACCCAGACCTTGGAGGCCCCCTCCGGCTCCGCCTCCTGGGAGAAGGCTCTGGAGTGAGAAAGGAGGGTGGCAGTGCTGGCTGGACAGCCTCCCTGGGCAGAGAGAGAAGGGCGAAGAGAGACCAGAGAGAGTCGGAAAGACCCAGAGTGACACCCACAGCGGGCCTCGGAGTAAGACAGGCAGGGCAGCGTGTCTGCAGGCCAGTTACGTTTGTGCCCTGCTTCCTGAGTCCTCTGTGCCTGTGGCAGCAGCACCCAAGCCGGTGGGGTGCTGAGAGTGTGCTTCTGGGACCCAGGTAAGGCTGGGTTGCTCCCAGGCATGGGGAGAGGGAGCTTGGAAGAGTCCTGGGTATGGGCTTCCTCTGGAACCCCTGCCCCCATAGCCCCTTGCTCCTGGGCTTCCTGCCACCCACAGGGGTGCCTCCACAGCAGTCCTTGAATGAAATTGTCCTAAGCCTGGAAAGATGAAGGCTTAAACCCTGGAGAAGGGAAGAGCCGAGCGCATGGTATCTGCTGAATTGTTGCTGAGCGGGAGCTGGGGTGAGGGGCGTCCTGGAGCAGACATGCTCTGTCCTTGGATAAGTCACTTCCTATTTCTGCCTCAAATTTCCTATCTGTGACATGGGGGTCTGAAGCCCATCAGCCAGGACTGTCCTGGGGAGAAGGCAAAATCGGGCACGGGCTCAGAAATATAAATGCAATCTGTGTTTCCTATCATCAATTTGAAAAGCAATGAGCTTGAACATGGTCTAGTTCCCATTTTTAGAAATAAATCATTTATCTCATAGTTTCTCCTACTGTGTGGGCCCTAAGTTCTGCAGCCTCACCAGCCTCCATGGTCCCGTACCTTTTGTAACAACTCTGGTCTGCCCCGGGTTGTCCTGGCTCATGCTGGCCTTGGATGCCGGCAAGTGACCTGGGAGTCCTCTTCAGACATAGCTCCCCGTGGCAGCTACCTGCGGGCCCTTGTTGAATTCACTTCCCTACCGGTACCCAGGCTAGTGCTGGTCTCCAGACGGACTGTGTGCCCACTGAGACCAGGGCTCAGCACAGGGGTCAGGGCTCAGGTGTCAGGCAGTGTCATGGGCAGAGGATCAAATGCCCCGGTGCCTCTGAATGGGTCCTTGTGAAAAATTGATGTTCATCCTGAAGGACAGGTCTGGGGCCATCAGGGCCTCTTGCCAGGGACCATGGGCCGGGGCTTTAAGAGCTACACCTAGTCCCAGGAGTCCTTCCCAATCCCAAATCTGAGCCCAGCCCTGTGCTGGCCAAGGCTAGAGATAGGGGACGGCTCAGACTCAGGCCATACCCTGTGCCGAATCCAATCCCCAGCTTTCAGGGCAGAGGTGGGGACAGGCCCCAACCCAGACAACAGAATACGTGTAGTCAAGCCTGGGATGAAGGGAGACACAGAGGACCTTGGAGGCATGGACAGGGTCAGGGGAGGCTTCCTAGAGGAGGTACCATCTGAACTGAGCCATGAACCACAGACAAGATTTTTCTAGTCTGAATTCCAGGTGGAAGGGCCAATGTAAGCAAAAGCTAAGAGGTCTGAGAAGAGCAGAATATTTCAGGAATATCGAGTGACAGGTTGGGGAGAAAAAAGACCTGAGATATGGGCAAGGCCCCGATTGGCTGGACCTTGAAAGCCAGACTTCAGGGGCTGAAGTTGCCTGTCCTGAGGGCAGCAGCGAATCTGGCAAGGTTTTAGCTCAGCTCATGACTGTCCCCAGCCTAGGCTGCCCTTTCTCCTATACTCCAAGGACCACCCTGAACTGGGAGGCCAGAGACCAAGTCCTAGTTCTGAATGGTCCTGCCCTGCTGTGTGAACTTAGCAAGGCTTGGTCTGTCCCTGGGCCCCTCTGCTTATATATTTAGGTGGGGCTAGACTTGTTCTCTCCTGGGAGCCCTTTGAGAATCTCTGGATGACAGAGCGTCCGCTGTTCTGGGCAATGGGGCTGCTGACAGTGGCCAAGGCTTCAGGTTTGGGCTGTGGCCAGAGGGAGAGGAGCCAGGGAGGGTTTCCTCCAGGGAGGAGGGGCTGGAGCTTTGGGAGGAGCCCAGGTGACCCTAGATAGGCTCAGGGCTCCCTGGGCTGGCCTGCTCAGAGGCTTGACAAGGTCCCTCTCTCTGCAGAACCATCTCTGGCTGGCGGCAGCGGGAGCACTGACAGACTATGGTGATTCTCCAGCAGGTGGGTGCTCCCAGCCCTGCTCTCCCTTCACCTTTGACCTCTCAAGGAGTCACCTCGTTGGGTGGCTCATCCTGCTGCCATCCCGTCCTCTCTCAACTATATGCTGAACTGTGGGATACCCTCTCCAGGCCTTTCTCTTGAAAAACTCCTACTCTCTGCTTCAAGACCCTCTGGGAACTTTCCCCGCCTCTCGAGGCCCAGGCTGGAATCTGCTCCCTCTGAGGTCCCTGTGGGGCTTCCTTTTCTCACTGACTCACCCCACTGGGCAGAAATGATGGATTTCCCACGTTTTTGAATCCCAGGTGTTTCAGGCAGTGGAACAGCATGTGCAAAGTCTCAAACCTGGGGAAGTCCTGGGGGAAAGGGTTGGCAAGTCTGCTTAGGAAGGGTCGTGATCCTGATGTGTCCTGAGGGCCTTAGGCAGCAATGAGCAGGGCTGACATGTCCTAAGCTGGAGCTCCCTGGGGTTTATGGGAAGAGGCAAAGGTGCTGCCCCTCAGCTGAGCCCTCTGGTCCCCCTTCCTCCCCAGGGCCACCACAGCCTCCGACCCTCAGCCCTTTCCCGTGACTGGTCTGAGGCTCTAATGAGCTTCTGGTCTCCAGAGCGGGAGCCAGGAATGTGGGCCCTGGGCCAGGTGGGCCTGGCCCAGGGCCCTGGGGCTTGTGGGGCTTGGTGCTGTGGGGCTTGGCCAGCAGCTTCCTGTTGTCCTGGGCCATCAGAGGTCAGTGGAGCAAACTTGTCTTGCAGCCCTTCAGCCACATGGGATGTGTGTGTAAGAAGGCGAACTTCAGGGTGGGATCTAGAGGGGGAAGTGCCCCCTAGAGCCCTTGACCAGAATGGCCAGAATCCACAAGAGGGAAAACGTCACCTTCACTGAGCATTTGCCATGTGCCACAGGGAGCTGGGTGGGAGGGGACAGAAGGAGGGCCTGGGCCTCCATGGCTCCCCAAGGGTGTTTTCCCCCAGGGATCTCTGAAGCAGGCCTCTGGCTGACTGGACCTCCTGTCCCCTTCCCCTACTGCCACCTTTGCATGCTGGCCCACCTCACTCTGTGGGGAGCAGGGGTCTGTAGATGAAGGGGCTGTGCCCACCCTCAAATAGGAAATAATCTTTTGTTGCTTCTCTGATCCAAAAAATGTCCCACCTCTGGGTTCCACAAGGCAGTGCCCATGCCCCGGGCTTTGTCTTGGGCTTGTTCTCTGAGCTCAGTTTCCCCACCAATAAGAGAAGATGGAGGCCCTCTTTTCCCAGGGCTGCTCTTGTGAGGCTAACGTGCCATGACCGTGCTTCTTCCTTACCTGCCACCTGGCCTGATGCCTGCTCCTCCCCCCACCCCAGCGATCCCCCCACAGCCTTGGCCTCCCCTGATCTACCTCACCTGTCCACATCACTCCTTCTCCCTTCACTGCCTTCCCGGTCCTCCTGGGGAGCCCCAGAAATGAGGGACGACCTTCCTTCTCCTCCCCACACTCCCTCAGCCCCAGGCGTCAGCCCACTCCAGAGGAGCTCTGTGCTGGTGGGCTGGGTCAGCGAGCACACCACCGCTTGACCTCAGAGTCCCTCCGCTGTCCAGCCTCGTGGCTGTAGGACAACTGCTGCACTATTTTCCATATCTGAACACCTCCCTCATAGGAGTGGCTGAGACTGAAACACCAGTGTATATGAAATGCTTAGCCCAGCTGGACAGAGCTCAGGAGAGCTTAACTACCAGCAATAGCAACAGTGTTCCTGGCTGTGACATTTCCCTATCCTTTGTTTTCTCACTTTACTTTGGAAGAAAAAAAAATCTCAGGAGACCTCAACGAACACAATGGTTCTTTCTCCACAGGTAGGAGGATGTCTCCGTGTGGGACTTATCAGTGACAGATTCCTCCATCCATGTACTTACCCATCATCCCAGCCCATCCGAGCACCCCACAGGGTCCCAGGCACAGGAGATACCTTCCTCAAAATGGGCTAAGAACCCAAATCTCTTTACTCATGAAAAAAGCTTATTCATTTGTTAAGAGTTTTAATCATCAGGAGAAATCCCCTTGGTCCTCCTATGTGCCAGACATGCTATGCATGATCTCATTCTATAGCGATAAGGCTGTGAGGTAGGGACCTTCATGCCCATATCGCAATGGAGAAGCTGAGGCTCCTGATAAGGAGTCCAGATAGGACTGGGAGCCAAGATGTTGAGGGGGACAATAGCCAGGAAGAGGAGGCCCAGGGATGGGCTGCAGCGAGGGCCCAGGGGAGGCTCGGGAACAGGCTCAGTGTTGGAGAGAAGAGGTCAGATTGCAGGTGCTGGGTGGCATTGCAGCTCTTGCCTAGTGACCCTGTGGCAGCCTGGGCAGGCCCAATTGTGTTTATGGCCTGGGGAATGGAATGGAGGTGCGGAAGTGTATCAGAGGCTGCCCTCTTCAGCCACACTGTCACCCACCCACCCAAGCAAGGTGCCACGGAGCCCTCCTATTTTCAGTCCTGAAAGAGTTTCCAGACCAATTGAAAAGATAGCTGGAAGCCTGTCTTTTTTTTTTTTTCTTTTTTTCTTTCTTTTATTTAAGAAATGGAAGCCTGTCTTTTCCAGGGGTAGTGGGGAATTGGAGAGGCCAGGAAGGGGAAAGGAAGAGTCCAGGAAGGCTCTGAGGCCATTGCAGTAGCCCTTGGGAACACATTGAGGAGACCGACTGGCCGGGTTGCAAGGTCCCTGGTGGGGGGTGGAATGAGAACCCGGAGTTCGGTGGTGCACAGGACCCGCCGCTCGGAGGCCTTCAGGCAGGGCTCTCTTGTCCCAGTCTGATGTCATTTCCTCTCTGCAGGGTCAGGTTGGGGCCATGGGTACTTGGCCCAGATTTATGGGCAGAGGGAAGTTTGAAAATAAATTCATGGGCTGTTGATGTCGGTTTGGGTTGATACTTTTAGTAAACTATAATGTCCTTCTTTGTCTTCTGTAACAACTTTTTTGGGGGGAGGGTGGATGGAACCCAGAGCCTTCCCAGGCCAGGCCAGCGCCCTGCCATGACGCTATATTCCCAGTCCTTTTCATTTTTTTCTTTTGAGATAGGGTATCACTAAGTTGCCCAGGCAGGCCTTGAACTTGTGATCCTCCTGCCTCAGCCTCCTGCGTAGCAGGATTACAGGTCTACCACACTGCAGCCAGCTTGGAAAATAACTGTTGGCTTTAAATGGGTTCAGAGGACATTAGTGTTGACACCCCAGCTCTCTTTTGGTTGCTACTTGCATGGAATACCACCTATATGAAGTCCTTCCCCTGGAGCCCGTGTGTGTCTTTGGGTCTTAAGTGGAGAAGCTGAGGCTTATCATAATTGATCCTGTGTTTTTATTGTCCCCTTAACTAAAGATCCAATCCATTTACATTTAAGGCAGTTACTGCTAAGGGTGGGCTTAATTTTACTTCTGCTGTTTTGCTGTTTGTTTTCTTGTGACCTTTCCTGTGACTTTCCCCTCTCGGTTCTTTTGTGTTTGACTGATTTTTTCCTCATCTACTATTTTAATTCTCTTCTCTCTCCTTTTTTTTTTTTTTTTGTTCTTTTTGGTACTGTGGACTGAACCCAGGGTGCTCTACCACTAAGTAACATCCCCAGCTCTTTTTACTTTTATTTTGAGACAAGGTCTTGCTAAGTTGCCAAAGATGGCCTTAAATTTGTGGAAGCTGGTTTTGAACTTGTGATCCTCCTGCCTCAGCCTTCCAAGTTGCTAGGATTACAGAAATATACCACCATACCTGGCTTTGATTCCTTCCTCATTTCCTCTTCTGTGAAGTTTCTTTCTTTTTTAAATTTTTTTATTTATTTATTTTTATTTATTTATTTCTTGAGACAGGGTCTAGCTAAGTTTCCCAGGCTGGCTTTGAACTTGTGATCCTCTTGCCTCAGCTCCCAAGTGGCTGGGATTAAAGTATGCGCCATTCCTCCAGGCTTTTCCCCCTTTTTTAAAAAATATATTTTTTAATATTTATTTTTTAGTTTTAGGTGGACACAATATCTTTATTTTATTTTTATGTGGTGCTGAGGATCAAACCCATGCTTCATGCATGCTAGGTGAGTGCGCTACCACTTGAACCACATCCCCAGCCCTCCCCTTCTTTATAAATTGTTTGTTTTTGTTTTTCTGGAACTGGGGATTGGACCAAGGGGCATTCTACAACTGAACTACATCCCATCCCTTTTTATTTTATTTTGAAACAGGGTCTCACTATCTTGCTGAGTCTGGTCTTGAATTTGCAATCCTCCTGGCTCAGCCTCCTGAGTCTCTGCAGTTCCAAGCATGCACCACCATGCCTGGCTCTGACTTTCAACTTTACTCTATGGTTATCCTTACTAGTATTCCTTTTTTTTCTTCATATGGCTTTGACTTACTGTCTATTATTTTATGATTTTTTTCCAATTTTTCATTTTTGTAAATATACATAACAAAATTTACTGTCTTAACCCTTTTCACATGCACAGTTCCATGGTATTACAAATATTCATAATGTTGTGATAGCCGATGCCATCATCCATCTCCCTAATCCTTTTTATCTGTAAAACTGTATTTCTTTCCATTAAGGAATAACACTTTATTTTTTTCCCTAACCCAGCTCCTGGCCATGTCCCTTCTACTTTCTGTCTCTATGACTGTGACTACTCTAGGTGCCTCACATCAGTGGAATAGCACAGTATTTGACTGTTTGTGACAGCTTAATTCAGTTAGCATAATTTCCTCAAGGTTCATCCATGTTGTAGCACATGACAGGATTCCTTCCTTTTTAAGGCTGAATAATATTCTATGGAATCAATATACCACATCTTGCATACTTAGTCACCCATGAAAGGGCACCGTGGTTGTTTCCCTGTTTTAGCTCTTGTGAACAATGCTGCTGTGAATATAGGTGCACAAATACCTCTTTGAGACCTGCTTTCAATTCTTCTGAGTATATGTCCAGAACTAGAATTGCTGGATCATATAATAATTCTATTTTAAAATTTTTTTCCCATGGTGGCTGAACTATTTT